TAATACAAACCCTCTACCCCGCTGCTGCTGCTGCTGCTGCTGCTGCTGCTGCTGCTGCTGCCACCGCCACCACCACATATCTATTATAATGATATGTATTTTACTACTTTTATACAAACAGATATATGCAAAGATTTGCCTGAAGGAGTCTGCCACCTTCATTGAGAACCAACAGTTTTGTTACTTGAGGACTTCTCCAGCAGGTAGCAAACGAGTGAAAGTGAACTTGAACCATGGTTACTAATTACCACCACTAAACTGCAGTGTATCATCATCCTGGGGATTTGGAGTAGGGAAGGAAGATGACTCTACCAGAGTTTAGGTCTTCCTGACAACTTATAGTTTTCAGGCCACTGTGTTGGTCTGTTTTGGGGGTTTCTCCTGAAGGGACGCGGGTGGCTCTGTGGGTTAAACCACAGAGCCTAGGACTTGCCGATCAGAAGGTCGGCGGTTCGAATCCCCGTGACGGGGTGAGCTCCTGTTGCTCGGTCCCTGCTCCTGCCAACCTAGCAGTTCGAAAGCATGTCAAAGGGCAAGTAGATAAATAGGTACCACTCTGGCAGGAAGGTAAACGGCATTTCCATGCACTGCTCTGGTTCGCCAGAAGCGGCTTAGTCATGCTGGCCACATGACCCGGAAGCTGTATGCCGGCTCCCTCAGCCAGTAAAGCGAGATGAGCGCCGCAACCCCAGAGTCGGCCACGACTGGACCTAATGGTCAGGGGTCCCTTTACCTTTACCTTTACCTGAAGGTGATCCAGGATCTTGGACTGGCACAGAATGCACCCTTGACTATCTGGGGGAACAATACTCCAGAGCAGTGAAAGATCTCCATTCATTTCTCATTTGTCTTGAGCCGGATTCAAGATGGTAGCTTTAACCCTTAAAGTCCCTGGGCCTTGCCAATGTTAAAGGAACACCTTCTTCCCCTATGTTATTCCCTACCTTTATAGATTGGTAAGAGAAACCCTGCCAGCTTTGTGCCATCTCCTTCTGATGTTAAGCTGACAAGTTGAAGATGCAGTGCCTTCTAATTGTTAGCACAACTGTGGCACTCCCTCCACAAAAGGTGCTGCTAAATACTAAAACAATCTATAGGCTCGAAAAAAAGGAATGCACCACCTTTTCTGAAGAGCTATGCTAATACTGATCTTCCTGCTGGTTTTAGGTTGCTAAGTGGCACCGGCACTTTTTAATTTATTGGACTGCTTTGTGTAAGTTTCCCTGCCTTAGATTTCAGAAAGGCAGGTTAGAAATTAAAAAGGATGAAAGAAAGAATTCAGTGTCAGGGTGACAATGAACAGCACATTTGATCCCCGGCTGTGACATGTGTGTGCATGTGATATGTGAACGCTGTTAATGCAGGGGAGAATTTGGAAGAGAAATTAAAATGCACACCGCAGTCGGTTTAGTTTTTTTGCATTCCAGCTAAGAGCAGATTTGAAAACAAAGCCAAGGTATGCCTCGGGCGCCGCGAAAAACTCCATGCGATTGACACCGATTATAAAACACAATTTCAGAAGACACCCAGGCGAAGTACAATTGAATTAGATGTGACGCAAGTCACGTGAACGCAGAGGGTGCCCCCTGGTGGACAAGAAACATGCAGACAGGTTGGAAACAGGAGTTTGGGGGCTGCAGTTGGCAGAGCTAAAGCAACAGAAGACGCCAAGTAACCTGGGGCTGCCCAGGTCAAAATGAAAGGGCTTAGCAGAGTCCAGGGCAAGGGCACCATGCTTCCTGGGCACATCCCTTCCTCCAAGGTAGTGCTGTTCAGACAAAGGCACAGGCAGGCTTACATACGCACAGCTCTGAAGCACAGAAGCATTCAGTGAACTGGAGGCATGAATGACTGACAGCCCTGCAGCGTGGGGACGCTGCTTTGGCGTGTTGGAACCCGCACGCGAGAAAGCATGTAGGGCTCCAATCCCTGCACTGGCAGGCGGGAGGAGCCGAGCCTGGAGGTCTGGCACGGAGCCCGGGCACACCCTGGGGCGGGAAAGGGCAGAGCGGTCGGAACATGCCCCAAAGTATGGGGAGCAGAAGCACAGAACCCGGCAGGAGCCAGTTAAGACCCACACCCAGCAAGCCCTGGGCACAACACCCCTAACACCCCAGTTCAAAAAAAGCCCCAGTGAAACTGAGGCACAGTGTACACAAAAGACATGCGCACACAAAAAGAAAAGGGTTTTTCTGAGCACCCAGGGTGGGATCCGTCCCAAAATAGCTCCCTGAAAAGTCAAGCTCCTAGCCAAGATTGCTGTGTGGGCCAAGTCGCTCCACCCACTGTGAATTCCCTCCCCCCCCCCAAATATCCATGAGGTGGAATGCTTTTCCACACACACACACGGACTCATAAAATTACGGCGTCCTGGAAACTGCTTGTTTTTTGACATCATGGCAAAACAGCATGGGAGGGTGGCTTTCTGTTTCGACATAACCAAATGGCCTCGTGAAAGCCACTGTGTGGCAGTAGTTCCATTTTAAAAATGGCTGCGTGAATTGCTATGTGTTTCAAGTTCAGAGTTCGGTATCAACACCCTCCAATCTGGTGATAATTCTGAGCTCAGAGTCTTTGACTTTACATATGCCTAAAATCCACTCTAACTTTGGGTGCCCAGTGATGGTGTGATAGGCATGTCAAATGACAGACAGCCCCTATTCAAGCAAGATACAAGGCTTGGTTCTTAGCTAGTTGCACTCAGCACCAAAAGGCATATAAGAATTGCATATCTTTTGGCTGATACGATTTTCTTACTAGGTTGTAAAGGACTGTGAAGAGGCTTTGCCATTTTGATACCACAATATTGCTATGCACACCTATATCAACAGAGTTTCCATGCTGGAAGCAAGACCTGGTCATATTTAAATCGTGCTTCCTGATAGTTTACCAGGAACTTGGCAACTCATCACCGTTTGGTAAATTCTGGACTAATGTACTACAATATGCTTTGCATGGGACTGCCCTTGAAGATTGTCCCGCTAGTTTAAAAAATGGAGCAATGCTTCTTCTGTCAGTGTGGGCGGCCGTGACCACATAATACCCGTGCCAGTTAGTTTCTAGGCACAATTCAAAGAGCTTGTCAACAGCTTAGCCAACATGTTCAGATTCAGATCATGGGCTCACCACCTTGCTCAAGCCACATTTTTTAAGGTGAGGCCGATCACCATCTCAACGTATGCCAGATCACTCACACAGCACTGATTTGCCCTGTGGAAATACCTGTCCAAATGTCAACTCATAAGAATTGCCCTTTCGAGTACAGACGCAAAGTGGGCAAACTTTTTTCTCTGGAAGACTGCATTCCTTTGGGGGTAATCTGTCCAGGGGGCCATGTGCTGCCTGGCTTAGTCAGGGACGAAGCCAGAAGAAAGCAGGACAAGAGGGGGCAACTGAGAAAGATCACCCCCTTTTCTCATCCTGCCACCCCCTTTTTCTCACTTTTACCTGTCGGCAGCATAGCTGTCAACGTTTCCCTTTTTTCAAGGGGAATTTTTCGGCTGTGGCTCCAATTTGGTGGAACGCTCTGTCACAAGAGACTAGGGCCCTGTGGGACATGACATCTTTCCACAGGGCCTGCAAGACAGAGCTGTTCCACCAGGCCTTTGGCCAGGGCACAGCCTGACCCCCTCCTCTGGTAATCCTCACAGAACTCTAGCCCAATGGTTGCCATTAATTTGATTTGAACTGATTTTATAATGAATTGATTTTAGAATGCTGTATTATTTTACTGTTGTTAGATGCTCTGAGCCCGGCTTTGGCTGGGGAGGACAGGATATAAATATTATTATTATTATTATTATTATTATTAATTCCCTTATTCCGAATTGGATTCCTTGCAAGAAAAGGGAAAAGTTGACAGTTATGGTCGGCAGCGAAGGGACACACAGATCACTCTTTGTCAAGATCACTCTTTGAACTGCTTCCTTGCAGAATACTTTTAAAAATTAGGCTAAGGATGCCTATCTCTCGGGTAGAACCTGTGAAGAAGAACCACCCTGCAAGTTCTGCTAATCTATACAGCACCTAACCCTAAATACAGTATTATGCAGGAGAAGCAGCCCAAGACAAGAGTCCACCCGCACAAATCCTTTGCCACCAGGTTCAGTTATTGTCTAGACACTTCTGTAAAACCCTGAGGGTGTAATGCATCTACAGGTGTTGTCTCCTTCAGCCTTACAATAACTTTCCTTATACTTATGCTTATTAAAATTTGTATACTGCCCTTCATCCATAGATCTCAGGGAGGTTCACAGCATAAAAGTACGCAGAAAATAAATAATAAAAACAAGAACAAGTACAAAACAAAACAATAACCTCCTTCTCACTTTTGCTCTGGACTGAGACCTTTTCCTCTCATCCCTGCAGGCAGCTCATTATGAAGAAGGGGTCTACAATCCACGCTGAGGCCCAAAACTCTTATATTGACTGGTTGCCAGTGAGATCCCTACCAGGGACCCTATACCAAGCCAGTGCTGCTTATGAACTTTCAGCCAGTGAATACGAAGACCTAAAACACTGCTCTACATTTGGCTGGAACAGTGTCAGGGGAAATCTTTCCAGGGCCCAGAACAGAAATCAACACTCAGCACCCAGAAGCCGAATCTCTTTATGGTCAGGTAAGCCTGGCCTCCATACCACCCTGGCAACAAAGCCCCAAGCGCCCACCACCAGCACAACCCCTTTCGGCCGAAGGAACTCACACAGTGATGCCATTTCCTTGGGCAGGTCGTTAGGGTAGCTCCGGAAGTAGCCTCCATTGGTGAGCACCTCGAAGTGTGGGTTGGGAAAAGGGAAAGGGTAGACCGCAGGCGGGAAGCCGTTCACATGAGCCAGGGGGGTCCCGCCAGAGCAGCCCCTCTCCTTGTTTCCTGCCATGGCTGAGGGCGCACGAGAAGCTGGCTTGAGAGAGAGAGTCAAGATTCCCCTTAGAAGATCTGGGTTGTGCCGTCACTGCTCTGGGAAGGTGGTTCCATGGTGGTGGTGGTCTGTGCAGGTTCTCAGCCCCCCAGCGAAGGTGTTGTTGCTCTTCTTCCTCTTCCTGTTGTGATGTCCTGCATGGGAGAGAAGAAGCACACCGGAAGCACATTAATGTCCGTCATGTTCTAGCTGAGGTTGTTGTAAAGGTAAAGGGACCCCTGACTGTTAAGTTGTGGGTGAACATATCAGACGACACAGCGATTCTTCAAACAGCTCTTGTTTATTCACAGACCAGAACAGAACTGAACTGAAGGGTTCAGCCAGCCTGCTTATACAGTGGTGCCCCGCAAGACGAATGCCTCGCAAGATGAAAAACTCGCTAGACGAAAGAGTTTTCCGTTTTTTGAGTCGTTCCGCAAGACGAATTTCCCTATGGGCTTGCTTTGCAAGATGAAACGTCTTGCGAGTTCTTGCGAGTTTGTTTCCTTTTTCTTAAAGCCACTAAGCCGTTAATAGCCGCTAAGCCGCTAATAGCCGCTAAGCCGCTAATAGCCGTGCTTCGCAAGACGAAAAAACCGCAAGACGAAGAGACTCGCGGAACGGATTAATTTCGTCTTGCGAGGCACCACTGAATAGAGCTCCACTAGAACGCAACAGTAACCATTTTCTGTAACTATCCAATCACTGAACGTCACTTTCAATCCCTTATTTGCATATGTGGACCTGAGTGAAAACTATCTACAGTATCCCCCTGCTGGCTCAGGGTGAGAACTTCAGTGCATAACACTGCCCATTAGGTCCAGTCGTGACCGACTCTGGGGTTGCGGCGCTCATCTCGCTTTATTGGCCGAGGGAGCCGGCGTACAGCTTCTGGGTCATGTGGCCAGCATGACTAAGCCGCTTCTGGCGAACCAGAGCAGCGCACGGAAACGCCGTTTACCTTCCTATTTATCTACTTGCACTTTGACATGCTTTTGAACTGCTAGGTTGGCAGGATGTTGTACTTGAGGGTGTTGTACTTGAAGTTAAACGTTTGCTTCTTCACCCACCATTTCCCCATAGAGTCAAACAGCTTGGGAAGCTTCTTATATTTCAACCTCTCATTCTTGTACAGGTGAGAGATGGCTCCCACATATAACAAATATTGCACCCTCCTTTCCTCGACAAAAATTTAAAATTTTGCATGTACACCAGGGCTGGTGTGCACATACATGTTCTCTTGAAGGGTGGGGGAGGAAGCTAATAACGTTGGTCATACCCTTCCCAGCTTCACTAGGCGTTGGGTTCCCCCATCTTTTAAAAGAGCAGATATGTGTTCCAACATTGGTGCACATATAATACTTCCTATGATTTCAACAAAAACTTTGCTCAGTGTTGCCAGTTTTTCACCAGAGATAGGGGACGTTGGAAGGAATGGCAGTAAGAAAGGTAATGCAAAAGAGAAGGGGAAAGTTCTGGATTTATACACTATCAGATTGTCCCCCAACCATGTAGACAAATGGGAGAGTGCTTCCTCCTCCCACATTAGCTAAAGGGAGCATAGCTGAGTAGCAGAGCTCAGGGATGGCATGCAATAAATATAAGACACACTTTCCCCCTCCTAAAAAGGGGAAATGTGTGTGCGTCTTATGGAGCGAATGAAGGCTGCAAGGCTGCAAGGCTAAGCCAGAACAGCGCTCCCTCTCGCTGTTCTACCTTCTGGCTTAGCCGCGTGAAGCCTCCGCAGGGCAGCAGGGAGCCTTCATCCCGCTCCCCTGTGGAGGCTTCACGGGCTACCCCAGAAGCCAGAACAGCTAGAGGGAGCACTGCACAGTGCTCCCTCTAGCTATTCTAGCTTCTGCCTTAGCGGCGTGAAGCCTCTGCAAGGCAGCGGGGATCCTTCATCTCGCTGCCCTGCGGAGGCTTCGCATGGCTATCCCTGGCTTTTGCGGGAGGTGGGGGAAGGGACAGAGCGTGCGGCAGAAAAGCCCCCAAGATCCGTGCTCCTTCTAAAGAGCGCAGGGCTTTTGCGGGAGGTGGGGAGAAAGCCAGGAGGCTTGCTTTCGCTGAAGCCAGGAGAGCAAGTGGGATCGGTGTGCACCGATCCCGCTTGCTCTCCTGGCTTCAGGGATAGCCCCGCAAAGCCTCCTGAGCGAAGAGAGAGGAGGGCTCCCTCTTAGCTCAGGAGGCTTTGCATTGCTTTCTTATTTCTTGTTTTCCTTCCCTAAAAACTAGGTGCGTCTTATGGTCCGGTGCGTCTAATAGAGCGAAAAATGGGGTAAATAAATCTCCAGGTTTAATACTTGCCACCTCCAGTTAAAAACATCAAGTAGCTGGTGATGTAGACGAATTCTGCCAGAGATTCTAAAAGCAAACGTTTTGGGAGAAGGGGCCATTGATCCAAGGGGAAACGGAGCAGGGATGAATTGAGTAAGTAAAAAGAGAAGCTCCTTTGAAAGCATAGATCAGGTCAGATGTTCAACTGCAAAGCTCTCCTTAGGTTCAGGGCAGCCTCCTACCCGACAGCTTGCAGATCTGGCCAACTGATGGTCAATCCGATTCACAATTTCAATGGCATTGCAATGCAGTCCTGGGCAGCCTCCCATCTGAGAGCTTCAAAGGTGCACATGAAATTTGACAGCCCTGCCACCCCCCTCTCCTCTAAAGAGCTGCTTCCAGTTAGAGTAGACAGTAATGGTGGACAAATAGTGGGCATTGCTCAAAGCAGAGAAAGTAACTATGCACACGTGATTTTGGCCTTATGCTAAGATTTCCCAAAGTGAGGATAGTTGAAATATACTCAGAAGTCGAGAGTGGATTTCATGCTCTTTATTCAACTCATAGTGGTGAGGAGGAATGAATGTTCCCCCAAAATATCTGCTTTATATACATTATTTACACAATGGGCTGCACGTGATTGGCTAATTCCGGGATACTCCTGTAGGCCAATCAGGTTGTGGATTCACTTCCACCTGGAGCTGGATTGGGTGGCTCCTGCGGACCAATCATACAGCTGCATTGTTCTAGGACCAATCAGACTTCTGAATTCTGAATCCCATTGTTCTAGGACCAATCAGACTGCTGCATATTGAATCCTATTGTTCTAGGACCAATCAGACTGCTGCTTTTTGGATCCTATTCAACTCAGTACATAACAAAAGTATAAGAAAGAAACCATGGGAAGGAATGCCCATTGTCTAAAAGAAGCTGAAAGTTGGCAGAGTCATGGACTTCAATGGGTACATGGAAATGAAATGTGGGCTCTCTCTTCTGTAAGGATGAGAGCAGCTCCTCCAGGGATCCTGAAGCTCTGAAAGGAGTCTTGGCACCCCCAAAAAATCGGGGAACACACATATTAGGTGAAGAGGCCACTACAGGAAAATGACCACAGCAATGCATATAGAGAGAAAGCAGGAAGCTGAGGAAGGGGAAACTGAGTGGACAGGTTTAGAGGGAACCTGGGAATAAGATTGTCAACCTTTTATTTATCCTCCTGTGCCTGCAACAGCCCGGAACACACCGAAATTAGCAGATAAAGCTTTTTGTGCCACTTTTAGTTCCATACAAGGTAAAGCTTGATTTCTTTTAATTTCTGCACGTGAGAATGCTTTTAAGGCTACAAACTCAGTGCAGGTAAAAAGCATCAACAAACCTACTAGCAAAAGCAGTAGGGACGTGGGTGGTGATAAATTTCCAAAATAAGAGTTGTTGATGCTGAAACATGCCCAGAAACCAGTCATCTTAGGCTGGAAATCCTGTCCCAAAATACCAGGTGTGTGGGATTGGTTTTTTTTTGGGGGGGGGTTATTCGGTGGTAAATTGAGATGCACTTGCCACACAATCAAGGGTACACATGACCTTCCGATTTTCAGGAATCAGGCCTGGCACTGAACTAAGTTATTAGGATTGAGTCCTGGAGGGTAGGGCCAGAAAGAGTCATGGTTTCAGGGGGTAGAGAACAGACTACAATGATGTGGCAGCCCAGGAGGCAAACAAGAGCAGTCTGGCAAGCAGAACTTTATATCATCTATCTATCTCTCTCTCTCTCCCTCCAGTACAGCCACTAAAGGCTTTTCCTGGCCAATCCTTCTCTGTAGCATAGACACCTGGCAAACCACAACTATCTATCTATCTATCTATTTGATTGATTGATTGATTGATTGATTGATTGATTGATTGATTTGATTTCTATCCTGCCCTTCCTCCATAAGGAGCGGAGGGCAGCAGACACAGCAATGATAAAACATTTTTTAAAAAGCATTTACAAACATTATCTCAGCCAGTGATGATGTCGCAGTTGCTAGGAGCATCTCCCTCCAGCCATCAAATGTCCAGGTTAACAGGAATGTTTTCAAATTTCTCCTGGGTGTCAATAAATGAGGGAGGCTGATGGCCTTCCACTCATGGGAACCACAACGGAAAAGGCCCTGTCATCTGTCAACACCAGATGGGCAGCTCCCAGTGGTGGCATCCCCTACAGGCCCTCAACTGCTGATCGCCAAAAAACAAACAAACCCCAGTTTATATACTGAGGTTGCCCTCAAATCACAAGAGTTAAAAATTATATATTTAAGATTTTCTTTTGCCTTTGGCATTTTCAGCACCAGACACAATAGGTAAGGACAAAGGGGACACTTTCCCCAAGGGAAAGAGAGTGATTTCCCACCCGACAGCAGTAGGAAGCCAGCTAAGAGCACCCTTCTAGGTAGGTTCCCTCAGAGAACAGATTTACAGACTTTGTCTTATTTCTGTATTAGGTCTTTGCCCTGAAGACACGAGTTACTGGAAATCCCTTAGGGAGGGAGGATGGATGCTCATGCCCACCCCCACCCCCCCCACCAATCGCCCTTGCAAGCTGAAGCCTCTGTCCCAGTCTGTTTCCCTATGAAAAACCTCACCGCATGACACTGCTTCTTATGCTCATACAAAGCCCTTCCTTCCCAGGGCAATTTGAAGCTGAGTTCCATAATTTTGAAGCCGGATCCCGCGCCAGTCCCCAAATCCAATTGAGGAGGGTGTGGAACTGAGCTGCTGCTCAGCCTCAGTTTACACACTTACACACACACACACACACACACACACACACACGTTCCAGCCTGCCTAGCAAACTGGGAACCAAGACGCTGTCCCTTTAAGCCTTTCTCTCCGCGAGGGCGTGTGCGTATTTTCCCTTTTGAACCATCTCCAAAAGCAGGCAAGTCCCCCCCCCTCCTTTTTTTCTCTTTTCTCCTTCTTCTTTGGGTACTTTTTACCATATGATTTAAATCAAGAGTCATTTCAGGTTCCCAGATAAATGGAGCTTATGTTCTTGCTGCCAGCGCTTGGCTGGGGCTGTACCACCCTGGGGGTAGAATGTGAGCTCACATCTTCCACATGGAACCCAACACCACAGGCCTAATTTACAACAGCCCAGGCAGCGCCTTTTCCTGCCGACTCTGTGTCTCTGGCTCTCAGAGCTACCCCCTATTCCACCCCCAGCCCCCAGCCCATCACTCACTCTTCACCTCCGCTCCCTATACCCTCGCTTCTTTAATGAGCGCGCACACACACACACTGCACACTCTTACTTTCGCCTCTGCTTCATGCCTGCTGCCCCTACTCCCTCTTTAGGTTTTTTGCCTCTCCCTCCCCACTCCCTTTCTTTCATTTTTCTTCTCCCACCGGGATGTGGTTCCACCCCAGTATGAGGCCAGTTTGAGGCGGCTAATGCATCAAGCGTACCACAGGCAAGGCATGGGCGGCCTCAGCGATGCTGCCCCACAGAATGCCAGCTGCAGGGCGAGAAGGAGCAATGCGTGGAGAGAAGGGGAAGCGGGAGAGCAAAATAATAATGACCCACTACCGTACAACTGAAGGGACGCGGGTGGCGCTGTGGGTTAAACCACAGAGCCTAGGACTTGTCGATCAGAAGGTCGGCGGTTTGAATCCCCGCGACGAGGTGAGCTCCCGTTGCTCGGTCCCTGCTCCTGCCAACCTAGCAGTTCGAAAGCACGTCAAAGTGCAAATAGATAAATAGGTACCGCTCCAGCGGGAAGGTAAACAGCGTTTCCGTGCGCTGCTCTGGTTCGCCAGAAGCGGCTTAGTCATGCTGGCCACATGACCCGGAAGCTGTACGCCGGCTCCCTTGCCCAATAAAGCGAGATGAGAGCCACAACCCCAGAGTCGGCCACAACTAGACCTAATGATCAGGGGTCCCTTTACCTCTTTACCGTACAACTGAGAGGCACAGACACGCACAATACAGACATCCTTTGGCATCCTCGAAGCAGTGTCCTTTGGTTGGTTACCTAGCCACACACACACACACACACCCTGGCAGTGCCCCCTGGCAGCCGATGGCAAGGAAACAGAAGAAAAACCATGCTAGGCACCACCTCTGTGGTGTGTGCCCCAGCCAAATCTACCCACCGGTATGGGGTGGGGTGGGGCAACCCCTTTGCGCTCGGCTCCTTTAAAACGGCGAGGACTTTGGCTCACTCCGCCTTCGCCCCCCCTCCCTCCCCATCCACCCCCTTTTCCCCACTGCTGTGGGTTCTGCCAAGTGCCCTGAGCAGCTAAAGCCACGAGATTTCAAGCGAGCAGCTAACTTAAAGGCTTCATTTCCGTAAACTTTTCCATATGTGAGGGCCTCTCTTGAAGCTCGTGTTCCAAAAATAAACGCGCCGTCAGGCCGAGGTGTCCAAGCACACGGAAACCGGGAAAGAAACCCACTGAAAGAAAACAGCACCGGCTCCTGCCAGCGGGCTTGGGGCACAGTTGCCTCAAGGAGGAGAGAGGGGAAGAAGAGGAAGGGGTGCCTTTTTGGGGGGTGGGGGAGGAGGTGGGGAGCGGGCTGGTTACAGAAGGGAATGTTTTTAAACGGTGGAACATCAATAAAAACCCAGCCGAGGCTCCCGCCTCCCTCTAAAACACCATTCGGAGTTCAACTTAATTCCAGGCATGCATCCGATTCCCTCGCCATTAGAGGGATCCTGGACCTTGCATTGCCCCATCAGAGGATGGGAGTGTGGGGGTCACAGAGAGGTCACTCTAATGGGGCTCCTTCTTCTCTGGGATTCATCCAAGATGGAGACACTGAAACCCATATGTTCTCCCAGGCTCCTTTAATTGTTCCTATCCCTCATGGGCAAAGGAGCTTATGCCTCTCCATATTTCTGTGGTGTGGGGAGGGGCCGCGTTTCTAAGAAACAACCAGCGCTGTTAAAATATATTTTTTTAAAAAATAAAACAAAAAAATAAATTCTTTGGAACAACTAACATGATAGTTCGCAGCAGCCTGGAGCCATCTCGTTTCAAAGACTTTTTTGTTAGATCGCTGTGTTTTCTATGTCACTGCGTGCTCTAACACACACAGACACACAAGTCTCAAACACACACACACACACACACACACACACACACACACACATGTCTCTGCCCATGAAGAGCATACACTTTTAAGCAAAAGGGAAACCGAGGCCATTAACGGATTTGGCCCCAGCAAGGTAGAAGACTGAACTTTGGCACTCATCTCACACTAACCTCAAAATGACACCCTGCACCAACACATCTGTCTAGCCTTTATTTTTGGTAGAGTACCAAATTCCTCCCCCAACCCACACTCACCACCCTGCCCCTTTCTGGTCCTTCCTTCAGCTGAACCAAATTTCCGGTTCCCTCCTGCTCTCCCCCCACAAAGTTTCTGCAGGAGCCCCAAATAATCAACCACATCCTAGGAGGAGAAGGCAGAATGTGGAAATAGGCACTCGAACAAGAAGCAACAATTGAACAAGGTTGCAAAGAAAGCAATGGGGTGCCTGGACTCTCTGCTGAGAGGGGTTTTTGTGGGGAGAGGGGAGAAACTGAAGATGTCTAGCTTTTCTGCAGAAGAGCACCCATTGCAATTTTGTAAAACAAAAGGTGAGAGTGAGAATTGCATGGATAAGGGACAGGGAACTTCCAAATGATGTTGGACTCTAATTCCCATCACCCCTGCCCAGCATGGTTAGGGATGATTGGAGCTGATGTTCAACAACATTTGCAGGACCCCAGGTTCCCCAGCCATGGTGTAGAACAGGGTTTCCTCAGCAGTTTTTGGACTACAATTCCCATCATCCCTGACCCACTGGTGCTGCTAGCTAGGGGTGATGGGACTTGTAGTCCAACAACAGCTAGAGACCCAAGTTCAGGAAGCCCTGGTGTGGCGCGTGGTTGGCTAGGCAGCCAGCCGAAAATACTTTGCTACCTGAGATGGAACAGCAACCCCCTCCCCTCATTTTGGCACCTGAGGCAGAAAATCTCGCAAGTGCCGTTCCCCATTCCTGGCATTAAAAATACAGCAACAACTTTTTTTAAAAAAAAGTGTTGCCTTTTTGCGACACCCCCCAAAAAGATGCCTGAGGCAGTTGCCTCATTCTGACTAGTGGTAGGGCCGGCCCTGCCATGGTAGAATGGCGTGTGACCGTCAGCAGCAATCCTGGATTTCCAGAAAGGTTCTATGTCAGGGATTGAATCTCCACCATTAACCTATGGTCCTTCCAAGGACCATACACACCCTTTGCATTTTATATAGTTTGAGCATTGGAATTAGACCATGGAGCCCCTGTTTCAAATGCACGCTCAGCCTTTACGCTGGGCCACTTTCCCTCTCTGTCGCTCTCTCACCCTAGCCTATGATGCAGGTTTGTTGTGAAGCTAAAAGGAGAGAGGGACCATGCAGGCCATCCTGAGCTCTTCAGAGAAGGAGCAGGATTTTAAAAATGCAATAAATAAATAAATATTTATTGCACACATAAGGTAAAGGTAAAGGGACCCCTGACCATTAGGTCCAGTTGTGGCCGACTTTGGGGTTGCGGCATTCAACTCGCTTTACTGGCCGAGGGAGCCGGCGTAAAGCTTCCGGGTCATGTGGCCAGCATGACTAAGCCGCTTCTGGCGAACCAGAGCAACGCATGTCAACGCTGTTTACCTTCCCGCCGGAGTGGTACCTATTTATCTACTTGCACTTTGACGTGCTTTCGAACTGCTAGGTTGGCAGGAGCAGGGACCGAGCAACGGGAGCTCACCCCGTTGCAGGGATTCGAACCACCAACCTTCTGATCGGCAAGTCCTAGGCTCTGTGGTTTAACCCACAGCGCCACCCGCGTCCCATTACACACATTACACACATTTTCCTGTCCTTTTCTCCAACAGAACTCCAGCCTCCCACCCATTGGCATAGGTTAGGGAGGTAAACGGCCTCGGCTTAGCAGAGAACTTGCACCCAAAGCCTTTCCTGATCCAAGCTCAATCATGCCTTCGACTAGACCAGGCAGCCCTCTTGAGCTGACGCTCTTAAGTGGCAAGGAGTCACAGCAATCTGTTCCAGATTAAGATGGAGCAGTTCGTTTCCCCTCCTCCTGTCTCTGCTTTGCCTACACATGTCTACCAATACTCCCGTCTTCTGCACAATCCAAAATCCCTGCCAAAAAAAAAGTTACAAACGCTGCCCTCCCTCCCTCTTTCCATTCCCACTCCTCACTTACACACACACACACACACACACACTTCAATTGGCCCTACTAAAAGATTTATGCTACTACACCAGATTTGATAACTGGAATACATTAGGAAAATAATGCCCCTTTTGCATGTTCATCCAACGCGCATAATTTTTTAATCGTGGCGCTTTATGGTTTTGAGAACGCGGGGTTCCTTTCATGCAGAAATGAGCCCCTTCCTTAGCTATAATAACCCCTAATTTCAATTTGCTCTCCTATCCCAAGCACCCTGGCAGCCACAAATACTAAGGGAACATGGAGCACACCACATTCCTTAACCTCCTCATCAAAGAGAGAGAGAGAGAGAGAGAGAAAGAGAGGGGGAAAGAAAAAGCCCCTAAACTTTCCTTTGCTGTCTGCAAGCGTGTCTGGAGTGGTCCGGGGCCAGTGGGAGGGGAGGGGAGGGAGAAAAAATTGGTTTCGTGTAGAATTGAGGTATGGGATGGGGGACTGGATTTGAATTTGGACAGAAGCCATTCAGTTAGGTTTGTTGGCTTTAAAATAAAATAAAAAAGCTTATTCCAAGGTGGAAAAAGCTACATGTATTTTCCACTTTACTTAAAAAAAAGAAGTCCGGAGGAGAAAAGGGACAACACAATGACAGGATTGTGCGAAAGGCTGAGTTGGCACTTAGCGGGCAAAGGTTATGGTAAAAGGTGTTTATAAGGAATATGCAAACATGAGCATCAAGGGAGTCGTTGCTCATGGTTAGAGGCACTGAAATCCTCTGAAATTAAGCTGCCATGGTGTACATTTTCCATAGTCCTCAATGCCCACAATGGAACGAGTTGTTGTTGAGTTGGGCTCCCTTCTCCCCCACCCAAAAAGACAGAAAGACTCCACCACAGACTTTGCAAAAGTATTTCAAGAAGGAACATAGCAACAGCCTTTTGAAAAGCCTGTGTGTGTGTGTGTGTGTGTGTGTGTGTGTGTGTGTGTTTTAACATGAAGCACCTAAACGGAGAACTAAACCAGAAAGAAAGAAAAATAAGAATTTGGCCTACACCACAGAGATGTTTGTTAGCTTCCATTAAAGGCTCAGCTACAGAGTTGCCAGCCACAAAAGTTGGGGCAGGACCCCCAAATCATAATATTGGGACAACTGAAGCTCTTTTTAATATGATTTCTGGGCTTTCGGGTTACAAAGAGGCCGCGCCTGGGAGCATTATTTTTCTAACTTTGCAGCAAGAAGTTATCACTGGCTGGGATGCTAGAAATGGAAGATCAGCTATCAAGCGCGACTGTCCTGGAAAGTTCACCAGTTTTACAGAAGTGAGACACAGTGTGACTGGGCCAAAATGCCTGCCAGGAAGCCCACAGATAGCCAGAGACTCAAATCCAAGCCTTCCAGTCCCAAACCCCCTTGAACTCCTTGCAAACTAACCTAGAACAACTTTGCCAGATTCTATCACTGCAAATGCCCATTAGGATGCACACAGAACCCAGATGCATGCTTTGAACAAAGCTTTAACGCTTTATCATCACCTGCCACTAACCAGCACCACTTGCAAGTGTAACAGGCTGCTTAAAAAGGACATTATAAATGAAGGGTTCAAAGCTTCAGTGTCAGGGGACTGGCATCGGAACAGGGAAGGGAGGCAGAGGGGCTGTTGGGATACAGGGAATCTCCAAAAAAATCTTGCAAAGCAGTTCCTCTTCCTGCGGTGGGGAAAGCCACACCTCCAATGGGGAAGAGGGGAAGGGACCAGAGGGTGCTGCTGGGAGCCCCAGCGTCGCACCTCGTCAGTCTGAGGGTGGGGAAAGCCACACCTCCGAGGTAAAGGAGGGGAAAGGGCTAGAGGATGCTGCGGGGAGCCTCAGCACTGCTCCTGGCCAAGCCAGCCAGGAGGGAAACATGCCTCTTCCATCGCCCACCTTGCGCAGAGGGGTAAAACACAAAGAAGGAAGGAAACGGCTGGGGGTGACTAAGTTCTTATGTTGAGGGAGGACCCGGAAGGGACCACTCCCGGATTCTGCTAGTGATTGAGACAGACATGAACTTATGGTGCTGCACTGTAAATAGTTTTGCACCAAAATAAAACCTGTAGAAGACGGGTCGGAGTCCTGCCTGGTTACTCACAAGCAACCACCATTGCCATCTGACATTCAGGTTCTGCTAAATGGAAAGCCATAGTTTGTCACTGTGTTCAACATACGCACCAACATTCTTCTGATAAAAATTGGGACATGGGCCTTGTGCCTTCTTCCCAAAGCCCAGGAAGCACTCCTTCCTAATGCTGTCGCCACTGGAGGAGCTACTTCCTTGGCCCCCATCTGCAGGCGGTGCAAAATCTGGGCATCCCTGGGTGAAGGCAGAGCCTTCAAAGAAACTGTGACTGTCCCTCTTAAAACGGGGCATTTGGATAGTATGCTTTGACTGCAGCAGAGACCTAAAAGCCAGGGTCGAGCTGTGGTTTACAACCCTTGTTGTTGTTTAGTCATTTAGTCGTGTCCAACTCTTCGTGACCCCATGGACCAGAGCACGCCAGGCACCCCTGTCCTCCACTGACTCCCGCAGCTTGGTCAAACTCATGCTGGTAGCCTCAAGAACACCGTCCAGCCATCTCATCCTCTGTCGTCCCTTTCTCCTTGTGCCCTCCATCTCAGGGTCTTTTCCAGGGAGTCTTCTCTTCTCATGAGGTGGCCAAAGTATTGGAGCCTCAGCTTCAGGATCTGTCCTTCCAGTGAGCACTCAGGGCTGATTTCCTTCAGAATGGAGAGGTTTGATCTTCTTGCAGTCCATGGGACTCTCAAGAGTCTCCTCCAGCACCATAATTCAAAGGCATAAATTCTTCAGCAATCAGCCTTCTTTATGATCCAGCTCTCACTTCCATACATCACTACTGGGAAAACCATGGCTTTAACTATACGGACCTTTGTTGGCAAAGTGATGTCTCTGCTTTTTAAGATGCTGCCTAGGTTTGTCATTGCTTTTCTCCCAAGAAGCAGGCGTCTTTTAATTTCGTGACTGCTGTCACCATCTGCAGTGATCATGGAGCCCAAGTAAGTAAAATCTCTCACTGCCTCCATTTCTTCACCTTCTATTTGCCAGGAGGTAATGGGCCCAGTGGCCATGATCTTCGTTTTTTTGATGCTGAGCTTCAGCCCATATTTTGCGCTCTCCTCTTTCACCCTCATTAAAAGGTTCCTTAATTCCTCCTCACTTTCTGCCATCAAGGTTGTGTCATCTGCATATCTGAGGTTGTTGATATTTCTTCCAGCAATCTTAATTCCGGCTTGGGATTCATTGTGGTATTTGGATGAAATGGCAAATTAAACTTCTAATCTTCTCTTTCAGTGGAGGCAGGGGAAAGGCAAGGAGGCTAGCCACAACGTCTTCATGTCAGGGCAAACCATGGTTTGCCGTCAAGTCTGAACACAACTACAAGAGGCCATCTTTTCACTCCTGTTTAACACACCACAAGCTTCAGAAAGCAAGCACATGTATTCTCAACTTGTAGCGTTGTCAGTTAAAATTAGCCCTCACCCGTCAATCAACTGAAGCTGGAGGTTGACTAATTAGATGTCATGGTGAGGTGCAGTGGTTAGAGTGTTCAATTAGGGTTGCAGGTTCAAATTCTCACTCATCTGTAAAGCTCACTGGGTGATCTTCGGCCACTTGCTATTTCTCTTAGCCCTTTCTACCTGACAGGGTTGTTGGGAGAATAAAATACGCAGGAGGGGACCAAGAAAACCATGTATGTTGCCTGGAACTCATTGGAGGAAAGGCAGGATTTAAATTAAGAATAAAAGTTTATATTTCTCTGCAAACTAAGCAAATATGTACTGCCCCTGGTTTTGTTTTCAGCTTCATTGTACAAAACTTGATAAGCCAAAGCACGAAAGCTGGCGCCTGCCCACAAAAGAGATACAAGCTCTATGGTGTCTTTCAGATTTGCTGCAAATTTGGGCTGCATTCCTGCACACAATTAGGTTGCTTATATCCCACCAAATTCAATGGGTGGTATTCAGTGAAGTTTTACTCAGAGTAAACCCATTGAAATGAATGAACATGGATAAATTAGGCCCATTAATTTCAACAGGTCTACTCTGAGTAAAACTTAGTTCAATAACCACCCAGTGGGATTTAAGCAATCTTGCTATCAACAGGACAGCAGTTTTGATGCACGCAATCCATTGTATGTTGGAGGGCAGTTTTTTCCCCCCTTGGGGTACGCAGGCGTACACATACCCCTAAACATTTTGTGAATCTAAGTTTGACCTCATTGAGGGGCAGTATTTCAATATGAGTAGGAAAATGAGAGTACCCCTAAACATTTTTTTAAAGGAAAAAGAGCACTGTTGGAGGGTATTCTTTTTCAGGAGAAAAAAAGAGAAAATATCAGGGTGAAGGAGAACCACGATATCTTGGGCATATGTTGCCAAGTGCATGTTGAAGCATGTTTTCATGACATTAAAAAAACACAGTAAAAAGATCGTAACTGTGATTAAAGCCAGAAAGTCTGGTGCAATATGAAAAAGCATGAAAACCCACTAAATCACTCAAGTAGTTGCCGAAATGATGTGGTTATCTAGTTGGCTCTGCAAAAGGTAAAGCTTATCAAAGCTTACAAATGTCTATTCATAGAGCACTTTCAATGAGTAAAAAAGAAGGAAAGTACTTTACAGTCTTCATCCTGTTATCTACATAACAATCCAGTGGAGCAGACCTCTATTATCCTCATTATTCATCTGAGTCATCCAAAGGCAGCCAGTTGCCTCTCATCGCAAAGCTCCCTGCTTCATTCACTGCAGTGGTTCTGATCCACAGGAATACCCTGCCTCTAAGCAAATCGCCTTCTGGTCCTAGGGTAGCTAACAAGCTTGCTTTTTAAAGCAGGCATAGGCAAACTGCGGCCCTCCAGATGTTTGGGACTACAATTCCCATCATCCCTACCTAACAGGACCAGTGGTCAGGGATGATGGGAATTGTAGTCCCAAATAATCTGGAGGGCCGGAGTTTGCCTATGCCTGCTTAAAAAGCAAGTGATACAATTAGCCACAAGGCACATCCACAGTTACAAAGTAGAATGGTCATGCAACAAATATTCAATTTTATTGGGATTTAACTGCCAAATGGCAAGCTACTGCTTAGAAATGTGGTAAGCACTCTTAATCCGTGGCTAATTCCTCTTCCCCACTGCGCCCTGAGACACTGTGCACATGAAATTTAAAAAATAAATAAACGAAGAAAATGAATTGAGAAAGGCACTCCGAATGCATGAGTAGTGCTACTGCATGCACTGTTGAGGTACAAAGAATTTATACCATGCACCATTTCTCCAGGTCCATGCAGAAGTACAAAATTCTGGCTGCAAAACATTGCATGCAACTATCAACATACTGGGGTGTGGACTATGCATATTTGAGAAAAGTTAGGGTGTGAATTAGAGGGACATGAGTGGCACTGTGGGTTAAACCACAGAGCCTAGGACTTGCCGATCAGAAGGTCGGCAGTTCGAATCCCCGTGACGGGGTGAGCTCCCATTGCTCGGTCCCTGCTCCTGCCAACCTAGCAGTTCGAAAGCACCTCAAAGTGCAAGTAGATAAATAGATACCGCTCTGGCGGGAAGGTAAATGGCGTTTCCGTGCGCTACTCTGGTTCGCCAGAAGCGGCTTAGTCATGCTGGCCACATGACCCGGAAGCTGTATGCTGGCTCCCTCGGCCAATAAAGCGAGATGAACGCGCAACCCCAGAGTCGGCCACGACTGGACCTAATGCTCAGGGGTCCCTTTACATTTACCTTTTAGGGTGTGAATTGTATAATCTGTAAGTATACGTTTCACTGAATGTGGACTTGGGGTACACACTTTTTCAGTGTGTGTAAGGATATGCATCCAGATACTAGTATCTGGAGAGCAAAACAGGGAGAGAATGCACACTAAGGAATTCAATACACTGACAAAATAAATTGTGGAGTGAGTGTGACAGCATTAAGCTTGGCTCCAATCCAAAAGCTGTGGTCTTTATTTATCTATCTGCTGCATGATTATTTAACATGGGTTTTCTGTAGATGACATTTGACAGTTGAGGAGGTTTTGTCATAAGGCACCTTTGTGTCTTGCCACAGTATTATATTAAGTACCAACAGGATGTGATTGCTAGCAATGCACTACTGGAATGAGCTATCCACATAAACAACAAGGCTATGAAAGTTAAGACTCAGTCCCACCAGACAGGACACATATCTACTGCTAAAGGCAAGGTTGCTGTCAAGGAGACAAGTCAATTATAGGGCCATGAGCACATTTAAGGTATCTCATTGGCATCACCTCTGGGAGTGCCACCGATTTCACCAAAGGACAAAAGCAGACAGAAGACAAGCGAAAGGCTTTCGAAACAGAGTTCACAGTTGCTCCATACCCATCTGGAGGTAGGATGTGCCAAAACAAGACGTCAGATTAACAAGTCAGGCTTCCAAGAATGTGGCTGTTTGTGACACTTGCAGGAAACAGCATGTATTGCTCACCAGCTTGCAGTGCCACTGGGTGCATATATAATCTCAGCTTCAAGACTCCCTGCCGGTCTTGCCTAGTGCTTTTCCAGTGTTGCATAGTTTTACTTCGCCCTGTTCCCTGTGCAACTGCCTCACTCCTGCCAGGGTTCCTATGGAGACTACATACTGGTGAGAAAGTTTCTGGCTTGGCTTAACAATGCGCTGACTTGTGGCTACTAGGGATGCTACTGCATGTGGGTGAATGGACTGGTATGCTTCGCCCTGGGCCCAGTCATGCCTTAACCTGTCCCGCAGTACACCTGGCGTCATAGGGCCCTACACCCAAATGGCATGGTAGGCCAAACGGGGAGAAATAAATAAGACTGCAGGGCAGAGGTTCTCCCACCTTTGGTTGTGGGCCTGTTCTCACTGTCACTTCCATTAACAAACCCTGCCTTACTGGGCTTATTCCAGGCACTGACGGAGGAAAGGGGGGTGCGGTGGGTGCGTCCGCCCCAGGTGTCATCCCTGAGGGGTGTGACATCATTGCCCTGTCCCCCTGGGACACTTGCTGCTTGTGGTGCCCCCTGGGATGCTCGCCCCGCCCTCACGGGCAGTTCACCCTGCCGCTGGGTGCGCCGCTCTGGGTGCCCAAGCAACTAGCTCTGCCTCTGATTCCAGGGCTCGTGCAACAACACTGCAAGCTAAGCTTTGGCTCAACATTGAGCCTTGAGCACACACCCAACGCTTAAACTGCTTTGTCCCTACATGCATGGATGCAGCAGGACTCCTACACCCCACCCCAGGGTGTTTCGGTGTACCCTAGAGAGGGCTTCCACTTCCTAACTAGAAAGCGATCCTATGGTAACTGCCGGTGGTGTACGGAGAAGGTGCCATCAGCAAGGTTCACAAGGAATTGCTGGAAGAAAACAGCAAAAGAGAACTGGCAAATGCATGTATGACTTCAAAGAGTCGTACGCAGAGTTGGAAGGGATCACAAAGGTCATCTAGGACAACTCCCTGTAATTCAGGAATCTTTTGCTTGAATCCACGGCTCTGAGATTAAGTGTCTCCTGCTCCACCAACTGAGCGATCCACTTCGTGGATCTCTATTTCAGAAGATGCCTGGAGTCTGTGAACATTTGCCCTTGAGTCATTCATACCGAGGTGACACAATGTGATGGGTCCATGTGAATGCAAGCTCCTTACAGCATTGTGTGTAGCTAGGGTTTTTCATGGAGAATAGGTCCATGAATATAGCTGTGGATCAGTGAGCACATACAGGCATGCACTGGTATGTTTGTGTGAGAGAATATGCACACAAACACACACACTGTGTGTGTTTTCAACTTCCCAGTTCACAGTTGAATTCTGGAAGTAGCTCGCTGCGGGCGTGGCTGCTTCAGAACCCACAGAGAGTGAAACACAGGAACTGCCTCCCTGACGCGTCCCATATGGGAACAAGCCTACAAGCTTGAGCAATAAAAACAAAACAATCTCCAAAGAGGTTCTTGGGCTGAGCACCTGGGAGCAGGGCCCTTCCCTTGACTGGCAGCACCGCATTCCTGAGCCCGCCAGCACCCAGCCACTAACCCTTTCCACGCCGGCATCGCTCTCTCCCCTTACTGATCCCACACGCAGCATTGGGTGGAGGAGAGAAGGGTGGGGCTGGTTTGGAATTAGAAGCACACAACCCCCAATTTTCTGCTACAGGCACTAAGGGGCTCCCCCCCGGGTCAATGTTTGTGCCGAGAAAGCAGCTTGCAAAGGCTGCGGAGTTCCATGCCCAGGTTTAGATGAACCAGGTGCCAACTCAGACACGAAGCAAGGTTATGAGAGTACCTTCTACTAAATGGGGCAACTGATTCCATCTAGCTCAGTAATGACTGAATGACAGCAGTTCTCCAAGGTCTCAGGCTCAGACCTCTCTCAGGGTTCTACTTGAAATCCTTTGAACTAGAGACAGCAGGGTCTGCAGCTGGACCTTCTCCCTACATGAGTTTTACCCAGGTGTTAGCAACCTTTTCCAGCCATGGGCCGGTCCACCTTCCCTCAGACCGTGTGGTGGGACGGATTATATTTTTTTGGGGGAAATGAACGAATTCCTATGCCCCACAAATAACCCAGAGATGCATTTTAAATAAAAGGACACATTCCACTCATGTAAAACACGCTGATTCCCGGACCATCCGCAAGCCAGACTGAGAAGGCAATTGGGCCGCATCTGGCCCCCGGGCCTTAGGTTGCCTGCCCCTAGTTTCACCCCTGAGCTAGAATGCTTCCTTTACTAGGTGGCAAAGCTTGCATTTTTGCCAGGGCTTGCATGCATGCAGCCCCAAGAACTGCTTTGAATACCAGGCCTTAGCACAGCTGCACGTTTTTTAATTTACTGACCTCATGTGTATGTGCACTAGACAGCAACATTATTTGGGCAGCTTAACAGTTTCAACAGAATAATATTGAAGTCGCAGATTTCCCAACATGGCACCTTCCAGATGTTTTTGACTACAACTCTCCGCGGCCTAACAGTGTTCAGGGATTAATGGAGTCGTAGTTCAAAACCAGATTTACACCAGATTTAAAATAACCCACAAGTAGGCACCAAGCGAGTCTCTCTGAGGAGGGAACAACAGAGCTGAGGTGCCGCCACCAAAAAGGCTCTCCCCCAGTAGCCACCTGTAACATCTCACTGGCAGGGCCCTGCCCCTAGAAGGGTGAACTCGTGAGAATGCCCCTAAGCAGGTGCAAAGTATATTTCCTTCTTCACTAACTACAGAGAGTCTCATACCTCAAGGATTATAGGGAAGGACCTCCAGATATGGAGTGGTGTTTATAAATTTGTGAAGTCCTTAAGGGCCCTTGCAAACATTTGTGGCGTAAGAAAATTATAGGATTCCAGCAACAGGAATACGTTATGGGACACACACTGATTGGAAACAAAGCAGTATGTTTGCCTCGAAATGTCCGCAGGTGCAAACAGTATTGAAAGTGAGATTGCATACAATGGCACCAGTTGTTGCAGATGAGCACAAATCATCATGAACACACAATAAGAAGGATGTCAGCGGTGGGGGGGAGGCATATGCACAAAAACAGATGAGCAAAAATAAGTGACTGATAAGATCTGAAGAAGTGTGCATGCACACGAAAGCTCATACCAAGAACAAACTTAGTTGGTCTCTAAGGTGCTACTGGAAGGAATTTTTTTATTTTGATAAAACAGAGATCAGCTTAAAATTGCTTAAAACTTTCCGCTACCGCACAAGTCAGTTCCATAGTTCCATTTCACACCAGGCTCTTAGAATGCAAATGATGGAGAGAATCTCAGGAAGGAGACATTTGCTAAATAAATGCAATGGAGGTTTTAAAAATAATTAAAAGCAGAGGTGAAGGTTTCAAGTATTCTCCATGGCAAGACCATGGGTGTTAGGTTATTCAGTCTGAATAGCCAGAAATTCTTTTATTTCTAGTATCCCAGGGGTTGGATTAATTGGTTCATCTGATGGATATATGTCCGAATCAGAAAGGCTACGGCCATCTAACTTTTAAGAATGTGTTGCAACAGGTTGTTCAAGCTTTTTTCTGTTGTGTTTGCTGCCTTGCAGTTTCTGAAATGTAACCGCAAAGCAGTTGTACACGCACCCACTCGCACGCTGGTGGCACATGGAGAGCTCAGCCCTGGCATGCTGCTGCAAACCTCCCGCAATGGGGATTTGTAGTTTCAAAAGTTGAGGTCAGGGTGAAAGCCCCACCACACCAGAAGCTTCACAACCATCTTATTGAAGCTTTCCTCAGCTACAAATCAGCAAAAGTTGGGGTCCCCCCCCACACAGACTGAGGCAGTCATGGGAATCACACCCCTACCCCAAACCAAAGTCCTATGAGTTGGTAAAAATAACACAAAGTTTAAATAAATATATAGCCATATCATGAAATCAAAAGCACAGGCACTCATTTGCCATGTACACAACCCTATGTATTGTATGCACCAGCTTTAGAAAACACAGCAGCCAGGATTAGGGCACTGGGAGAGTTATCAAGCACCAAGAGGAGCGGCCGCCACTGGCCACTGAGGCCACACAACTGCCGCGTTTGGCTCTGCCCCAGCTCCTCCCAACATCCTGGCATCACACGTAGGATGCCATGATGTCACGCACGAGACGTTGATGCCCCAAATCGCCCTCATAAAGTGGCGCCTCTGGTAGGGAAGATGATGTATGTTGAAAAGGATGGCACCTGTCAGAGGGTTGGGCAGATCCTCTTGACATTTGAGCATCTGGCCATTTTAAGGAAGGATTAGAACATGATGAGGGACGCGGGTGGCGCTATGGGTTAAACCACAGAGCCTAGGGCTTGCCAATCAGAAGGTCAGCAGTTCGAATCCCTGCAACGGGGTGAGCTCCCATTGCTCGGTCCCTGCTCCTGCCAACCTAGCAGTTCGAAAGCACGTCAAAGTGCAAGTAGATAAATACGTACCACTCTGGCAGGAAGGTAAACAGCGTTTCTGTGCGCTGCTCTGGTTCGCCAGAAGCAGCTTAGTCATGCTGGCCACATGACCTGGAAGCTATACACTGGCTCCCTCGTCCAATAAAGTGAGACGAGCGCCACAACCCCAGAGTCGGCCACGACGGGACCTAATGGTCAGGGGTCCCTTTACCTTTAGAACATGATGCAGGTGTCATAAACAGTACAGGCTCTTTTTATTTTTATTTTAAATGTTTTCCAACTCTCATGACAGCAGATGCACTGGTATCAAGCTGGCTATCCAGTGTCTTTCCACAGCAAACATTTCTAAATCAATTGAGAATGTTAATCAATTGAGAATGGGAAGCATCTAAGATTACACTTCAAAGGATATAATTTCCTCCCTCTGTGAAGGAGCACCCCCCCAAAAAAAAACCCCTGCTCAGTTATTAGTATATGCATCCACTGTCTTATTGGCTTTATCTCACTCACATGCTATATTCTATGCTGAAACCTAGATGACACCAGAAGCCACTTCTTGCCTCCTTGGGAGCTCACTTAAAGCCCAAGGTTCAATGGAACTCTGCTCAAGCAAAAACGGAATAAATAACATTTCCACAAAAGACACTGGAAAAGACTCACTCCCACCACTAGTGCCATTTGAGAATGTTGTCAATGTGGAAGGGAATACATATCCAGAACGGATCCCGTTCGCATCCCGAGGTACCGCTGTACTGCCTACTCTCCACCCCAGGTATACATATGCCTCATTGGAAGAGGGGAATTGCAACGGAAGATTCTCAGAATAATTACAAGTATTTGAAAAGGCACAATTCGATTTAATCCTAAGAGCACTTTCAGAGATGTGCTCCGCTGGCTCAGGTCCAAGGGCTGAAATACAACGCACCTCTTGCCGTGGAACCATCCAGATAGGACTCTCTTGCCCCAGGTGCTTCTCAGTGACTGGCAAAACATGTCACAGGGACAACGAGACAATGCTACTTTTGTTCTTCTGCCTGAGCTGCGTCAGCAGACGACACCAAAGCAAATCCACCAACCCAGCTGAGGATGTTCTATGTAAATTGCTCTACAGTCAACGCCGGATTTGGGCGGTTCCCCTGCAATGGACTCCAAATAATAACCTTAAAATGAAAGAATTATGGTGAAAATAAGAAATATAGCGGGGGGTACCAAATTTTGTGCTCGCTCAGGGTGCCATGTTACCAAAGTCCACTCCCTGTTACCACACACACACACACACACACACACACACACACACATTTATACACACTCCAACTTTTTTTGGCTGGAAAATCCGAAACCCAACTCCCTTCCCAAAGGCTGGAAAAGATTTGAGGTCTAGGTCAACATCTCACCTATCTAAGCCACAAGAACCTAACTACTGGTTCTTTCTGTGCTGGTTCCCCTCTTGTCCAGAGTACCAGTCTGGTGAGCTTTTCACACAGTTCAAAAGTGCATTCCTTCTGCTAAAAATAAAGCAAAATCTGTGTGGACACAGAACACTTTCAAAACCAGTAGTTATACTGAATGTTGCATTTTTCAAATCACATGACAAGAGTAACAGTGATCTACATTAAGACCTTTGCAGGTCGATTAAAAAAACCCAACCACTCCCACTTTTTTCTAGTGCAGGAAATGCCACTTGAGACTTTAGAATTAGTCACATTTCTAGGGGCAACGTTAATAGTTATAATTATTATTATAATTAATCTCTTATTCCTCGCCCATCTGTCACTCTGGGTGGCTTCCAACAAAAATAAAAATAAAACAAAGCAAAATAGAAATCAGACATTAAAAGCTTCCCAAAACAAGGCTGCTTTGGGATGTCTACGAAAATTTTTATAGTTGTTTAACTCGTTGACATCTCTTTTCATGTTTTAGAATGGCTGCTTGCCATGTTACACAGCTCATCAAACATATTCAAATTAAGTCACAATAGAGATAGAAAGGTGGTCTTGGCATCAGGTGTAAAAGCACCCAGAGTTTAACCATGCTTTAAAAAAAAAAGTGCAATATTCAAGATGGGAAACTTCTACCCTTCAACTTAAAGGTAAAGGGACCCCTGACCATTAGGTCCAGTCGTGGCTGACTCTGGGGTTGCGGAGCTCAGCTCGCTTTATTGGCCAAGAGAGCCGGTGTACAGCTTCCGGGTCATGTGGCCAGCATGACTTAAGACGCTTCTGGCGAACCAGAGCAGCGCACAGAAACGCTGTTTACCTTCCCGCCGGAGCGGTACCTATTTATCTACTTGCACTTTGATGTGCTTTGGAACTGCTAGGTTGGCGGGAGCAGGGACCGGGCAACGGGAGCTCACCCCATCGCGGGGATTCGAACCACCGACCTTCTGATCAGCAAGCCCTAGGCTCTGTGGTTTAACCCACAGCGCCACCCGCGTCCCTACCCTTCAACTTAGGAGTGTATTTTGGAAACCTGGCTCTTCCCAGTTGGCAAATTCATCCAAGTGCCACACATTATCTATTCAGAGAGTACTCTAGGAAATGATAGTTCCTCTTTATGCAGATGCCCCCTCCAGCTAGGATTTTGTCCACCAGCTTTTTTCAGGGATGTACCGTATCTTGGAAAAATACCCCTGCCACCATGCCCTAATGCCACAAAAAATGGGTGCGGGTGGAAAACCCACTAATTGCAAGACTACCAGCTGCAAGCTACAGCTGAACATGATAGTGCTTAAAGGTTAGCCTTTGAAACCTGTCCAATTCACTCCCAGGTGCCTCTATCATGCTTATAGGCATAAATGCCTTATCCCTCAGCAGGTTGTGAAGTCTCCTTCATTAGAGGTTTTTAAGCAGAGGTTGGATGGCCATCTGTCATGGATGCTTTAGTTGGGATTCCTGCATTGCAGGAGGTTGGACGATGGCCCTCGGAATCTTTTCCAACTCTGCAATTCTATGATTCTATGTTTGTTTGTTTTTTAAAATACCTTTAACTGTGCTATGCTACAAAAGTGCTCCAACAGGTCTGAATGGCATGAACACATACCTAGTTATACTTGAGTGAATCCACAGGAGAGCATATATACCCAGTCCATACACTGCAAAATCTTAGCCAGAGCTCAGGGCTCTCTTACAGACCTGAACACTGTGATGAACCAAGAATTGCACAAAGAAAATACTGGCTCTCTTAGTGCAAACCCAGGTCATCAAGCCTGAACTTTCATAGCCACTGAGCTACCAGGACTGGCAGCAACAGCAGCAGATATGTCCTATGCTTATAATATTTCATTCTCTTGCTAATTATGCTGATTTAAATGTGCATTTTTATATCTGACTTCCATTAGCGATGTGTTCTTTTGAAATGTTTTAAGATTTTTGTTGTTGCTGCTGTTGTTGTTAACTTTGCTGTGTTAAATGTGCTTTCTGTGGTTGTAATGTTTTATTTTTATTATCTTGAAGATATTTTAGCTTCCTGCTAATTACGCTGCTTTGAATGCATACTTTGTATTTGACTTTCTTCAGTAATGTTCTGTTCTGGATTGTTTTATCGGATGCTTTAATGTAGTTTGTAAATCACTTTGAAATTCCCCCATCCCTTAAAAATATAAAGCAGTATAGAAATAATAATAATAATAGGGGTATCCTCCCAGAAAGCATCCAGTTACTTGAATGTGACCCTCCAATTTTTATCATGTTTGCCTTTCAAACATCCCCTGAGATGTAGGTCAACACTATTCTAGACCCATAAAGACGTGGAACTGAGGCTGAGGTAAAGTGAGTTGGTCTAATCCACAGAGGAGGAAGAAGCCATTTCCTAAGCCATGGGTAGGCAAAATAAGGCCTGTGGGCCGGATCAGGCCCAATTGCCTTCCGGATCCGGCTTGCAGACAGTCCGGGAATCGCCACGTGGATCGTTCTTTCCCTCTCCCTCATACGGTGGCGGCGGCAGCGCTTCCTCCCTCCCTCTTCCTGGCTTCTCCCTGCCCTGCCTAGAGGAGGAAGGGGGCGGGGCTTTGTTGATGCCAGCAGCAGCAGAAGCATTCGAGCGGCCGCCATTTTAAGCAGCCCCTCTCCAGATCCCTTTCGCACGCCGCTCATCGTCCCTTTGCCGCCACCGCCAGCCCCTGCGGCTCGCATCATTCCCCCCCCCCCAAAATATAGTCTGGCCCCCCACAAGGGACAGTGGACCGGCCCCCTGCTGAAAAAGTTTGCTGACTCCTGTCCTAAGTTTTCAAAGAAGGGCGAGTCATCACATTCCCTACAACTCTGTCCCTGATCCCCAGCTTTTTCCCCTTAGGAAAATAATAATAATAATAAAGAGGAAAGGGTGAGGAAATTACCTTAACAAACCAATACTGACCCATCTAGTCAGAATGCTTTTGCCCTCAGGCACTCCTGAGATCACACCAAGTCACTTTATACCCACAGACTTTTATTTTAAGGTGAGGGAGCATAATTAACATTCACATAGGTAAGAAAAGAGTATCTGGCATATGTTCCCGATTTTTTCAGTGGAACAGCAGAGCTGGCACCTAAAATGAGGAAACCGGTGCCACTCTGCACATCATATGAGAGGTAAGCGAGCCATTTCCCAAATTCAATATAGACGCATACAGTGGTACCTCGGGTTAAGAACTTAATTCGTTCCGGAGGTCCATTCTTAACCTGAAACTGTTCCTAACCTGAAGCACCACTTTAGCCAATGGGGCCTCCCGCTGCCGCTGCACGATTTCTGTTCTCATCCTGAAGCAAAGTTCTTAACCCGAGGTACTATTTCTGGGTTAGCAGAGTCTGTAACCTGAAGTGTATGTAACCTGAAGGGTCTGTAACCCGAGGTACAACTGTACTGCAGATTTGATAGCAGCAGCATTGGGGAGCGGGCGGACTGCTTAACCCCCTTCCGTGCATGGTACTATTCCCCCCCATCAAGATCATTATGTGAAGACTTCTCACTCATGGGGGAAAAGATACATGATCCATCTTTTCCCCCGCGTGGACAAAAGCAGCTGGGAGGGGTGATTATTGGAGGAAGCAGCCAACAGGGAAAGGGTTAAGTACTCCCTGTGCACTGCTACTGCTCTGATCAATTTCAGACACCCCCTCCAATGGCTGCATTAAAGTGAAATAAGCACTGTGAGACACATCACACCCAGGTTGGCTCCCAGAAACAGAGAGAACCATTCATATCCACTGCATCCCTCTTTCTTGCCTGATTGCAATTTTGTTATGTTTTATTGCTTGCAGAAAGTGTTGTATAAGTTTGCAGGAATCCCACGCCTAAATCACAACTGAGCCATGAAGTTCACAGGGTGCCCTTGGGCAAGTTCACTGCCAAGCTCACGTACACCCAGGGACCGCTGTCAAGATAAAATTAGATAGGGATACAGTGTAACCTGCCGTAAGCCCTTGGGATAGGGCAGGGATGATCTCTGAAGAAAATAACATGTTGTATGATTACACCATTCAAGAACGGTATTTGGCTGGAAGCAATTGCGAAAGTAGGCTTTTTCAAAGTTCATCTAGCAGGGTAATTAATATATCTGTTCGTAAATCATAGAATTGTAGAGTTGGAGGGGAATCCAAGGGCCATCTAGTCCATCCCTGGCAGATTCCTGAAACATCTCATGGTGCAGCTCAGATACACTAGCATCCATGACCCAAAGGGTGCAGGAACAGACAATGCACAGCACTACAGGAACACTGGCAGAATTGTACTGTGAACATTGTGAACCATGGAACAATTAAAGTGGGTGCAAACATAGGGCTGTTGTTTCTTTGGTGCTATGAATCTGTGCATGTTTCCTGCCTGCCGCTGTACAGCATCTACACATCTTCCCTGACTGTTACGCTTTATTGCTGAGAGACCACGCCTTCTCAAGCTCTCGCAAGCTCAGTGTTATAAATCCGGGGAAACAAGAGTGCTTTTCTCAGTGAATATTGCATTCACTGCTATCGTGATTGCTGCATGGAATGCAACTGTACGAATGTCAAAGACATCTATAGGATATGTTTTGCGGTTCTTGCTTGTTGTTGCATTGCCTCTCCCAAAGAAGTTTCGAAACCCTGTTGGCTCGTGGGTGTTCCTTTTAAGTTTCAGTTTTTTAGTTCATCCTGGGAAGTGAGTTGTCCTCTGCTTTGACAGGGTTGCTCTGCAGTAGCACATGCCTAAGCAGATTTTAAGAAGAGAAGTGGCAAGCAGTAGCATGGAAAGCTAAAGCTAATGCGGTGTGAACAGTGGGAGGCCAAGGACAGAGGAAAGGAAGCATTTCTTCACACTGTGCATATAGTTAAAAGTACAGAATTAGCTCCCCCAGGAGGCAGCGATGGATTTAAAAGAGGTTTAGACAAATTCAAGGAGGAAAAAGCTCTCCATGGCCTTTGTAAATCCCTATAGGTAGGTAGGGTCATTGCTGGTTTGCAAGGGGGGAATATATGCTTGGCTGAGGCCGCATCCAGTATGTTCATAGTCAAAGTGATGTTTGAACTGGGGATTTCCTGGCTGACGCTGTTATAAGAATTTCACTCAGATTTCTGTCGTAGACCGCATTTTCTATGATGTATCGGGGGGGGGCATCTTTGGGCTACACCCCTTCTGTGATATATATATGAGGTCTCTGGGGGTGGTCTTGAGCTCCAGGGCAGGGAATTTCAAAATATCTATACAGTGGTACCTCAGGTTAAGTACTTAATTCGTTCCGGAAGTCCGTTCTTAACCTGAAACTGTTCTTAACCTGAAGCACCACTTTAGCTAATGGGGCCTCCTGCTGCCGCCGCGCCGCCAAAGCACAATTTCTGTTCTCATCCTGAAGCAAAGTTCTTAACCTGAAGCACTATTTCTGGGTTAGCGGAGTCTGTAACTTGAAGCGTATGTAAACTGAAGCATATGTAACCTGAGGTACTACTGTATAAGGGGAGGCGCACCTTTGTTCTGGGTCTTCCTCCTTGCCTGCGTGTGAAGGGAGCACCCTGTTGCAACAGGGTTTATAAAGATCAGGCTTACTAGCTGCTTTGCTTCTCAATATTCTCTGGTTGGCTTCTATTATTTTCGCCTACCGATGGAGAACCAACAAAGGACTCTATAAGGGCTCTTGTGTACCCCATAAGGGAACAAGACCAGATTATGTTTACAACAACGCTCTAAGCTTCTACACCAGCTCTCACATAAGTACGCGCCTTTGGCTGGGATGCTTCCTGCTCAACTAGTTGTGTGCTATAGCAGGAGGATGGGAAGCCCCGCCGCTGGCGCCCCAATTTCTCTTTGTGGCGTAAAACATAGCAGAAGAAAACAAAGGAAGTCTCAGTAAGAGTTCCTTAAGTAAGTCACTTCCAAGAGATCATTTTTGTAGGTGGCCACCACCCCTTTTATTGCTGTTTACTATTGGTTGCTCTGTTTAGACCACCAGTAAGACTGTGCCAGTCCTCCCTGATTGCTGCCAGTCCAAACCATCATACCAGCAGGGTAGATGTGGGTGGCACAGCAACTCCAGCACAAGAGCAGCAAAGGCAGCGCATCGAGACAAACACACCTCACACTGTGCCCTGTTTTTACTCACTAAGGGCACAACTACAGACTGAAATCACTGGTTTTCAACCAGTGTGCTGTGGTACCCTGGGGTGCCTTGAATGGTGGTCAGGGGTGCTGTGATGGCCTGGGATTCAGACTTGGAGGCTGAACCTGAGGAATCCCAGCCTGTTCAGGAGTCCCCGCCTCCAGAACCAGCTTAGCCGGGGCTGGGGCTTGAGCCTGAAGGATCCTCACCTGTGCTGAATCCTCAGGTGCAGGCACCAGCTGAGTCTGCTCTGGCTCCTGAGGTGATGGAGGACCCGTTGCCTGCAGGTGCTCCACTCTCAGCCCCGTCAGGGGAGGTTGAGGTTGCCTCTGGGTCCGGTAACCCTCCAGCCTCTCCTGAGTTGCAGAGGCTTAGGGCAGAAAGGCGGAGGGAACTGAGTTCCCGCAGGAGGAGTGCTCGCCTCCAGACCAGGAGAGGCGAGTCACCTGTGGACTGGGGCCGCCCTATACCTCGGGGCAGATAAAAGCCAGCCAACCCCAAGTTGCGGGAGCAACGTTGTTGGTAGCCAGTTCCTGCCTGCACCCTGTCCTGCCGGATCTCCTGACCTCACCTGACTCCCTGCCTTGGACCCCGCTTCAGCTTTGACGGACAGCCTCAATACTGCTCCCTCGACCTCGGACTAGACTCGGACCTCGCCTCACGGAAACCCACGGGACCAGCACAGGTGCCATGGTCAACACCCGCCTCTGTCCCTCTTCCCTTCCCTTCCAATTTTCTGTTCAGTGATGGCATCACTGGATGAAGCTGATATCTGGATCTAGCATGAGCTCCCTCCCTATCGGGCTAGACCAGGGGTCTGCAACCCGCGGCTCCGGAGCCGCATGTGGCTCTTTTACACCTTTGCCGCGGCTCCGGGGCGGATACTAGCGAGGGGAGGAGGCGCATTGTGCGCCCCGACACTCCCCACTGTGGCGGGCGCTGTACTGGCTGTGACGTCGCATGGGGGCGGTGCGTGCGTTAGTCACGCACCGTCCCGACGTCACCTTCCCACCCGCCCGCCCACTACATTGTAAGGGGCATGTACGCTGGTCACTGCATTGAAAGGGGGCATGTACGTTGGTCACTGTTTTGAAGGGGAGTGAAGAACACACACACACACAAAAAGGTAACTTGTTAATTTAACGTTTATTTCTATGAGGAGGAGTAATTCTGAGGGGTCAAACAAAGAAATAATAAAAAAGTGACAAAAAAGTTATTTTTATAATGACGAGTTTTGCGGCTCCCAGGTTTTTTTTCTTCGGAAACGGGTCCAAGTGGCTCTTTTTGTCTTAAAGGTTGCAGACCCCTGCTAGACTTTCATTTTGAAATCAGGCTCCAAAAAGCGAACTTTGAATTAGGTAACCGCTTGGTCTAGGCACTTTCCCAACACCACCTCCCAAACATGTGGGATGGAATGGCATCCTCAGCTGCGAGGTTACCTGTTGCAAGCGTGGGTGGGGCGTGTGCACCTTTATGGAAAGAGACTCATTTTCATTGATGCCTCTTTTCCCACACCAACCCGAGGCGCACCTGACGGAATTCTCACATCTAGAGGAGTACAGAAGATCCAAGGGAGCCCCACCTCTGATTAAATCGGGTCACCCTAACCTCACCCCAGATAATTAGTGGTATTACAGAAACAGCTATGTGATGTACACACTTGCCCAGCTGTGGTTTTAGTTTACCCAATTAACTTATTGTGATGGAGCAGGGCTGGCAGTAGCCGTTAGGGCAATGAAGGCAGCTTCCTGGGGCAGCAGAATTCAAGAGGTAATAAGGAAATGGAGGGAGGAATACAGTTACTGCCCCCCATCAACCAGATGTTTGGGACAAAGGACATGTCCCAACTTCACAGGTTTCCCAAATGGCCTCCATTCACTTCTGGAGCAAGGGAAAGGGACGGTAATCAGGTGGGGGGTGGGACTCACAAATAACAGAACATACTTATGCCTCCAAACACACACGACTTCATGCAACAAGATGAGGGGGACAACGAAATAATTTTTTTGCCTAGGGCAGCAAAAATAACTCCAGCCAGCCCTGTGGCAGGGACTGAGATATATTGGAAGCTGCCCAGGGCTTTGTGCAGTAGAAGACCGCCCTGAGTCATATTTGGCGCCTGGAACGCCACATCAAAATGCCCGGTTTATGTGCTGAAGTCTGCAAGATGCGCCGGAGGCATCTGAGGACGGGGAACAAACAACACTGTTTGTATGAGAGCTGCTTCCTCTACACCTACCCTGCCCTGCGACATAGTTCTGCCCCCAGCGCACAACACCATTTTGCCTCTTCCTCTCCTTCACACAGGGTTACAAAGCAAGTCACCCAGAAGCCAGAGTTTGGTTATGGGGTGTACATTATCTGGTTTTTTCATGCTTTCTCCAAAGCCCCAACTCTGCCCAGTGTGCTGCAATGGTTGTGTGTGTGTGTGTGTGTGTGTGGCCCAGCGGAGAAGCAGGGATCTGCTGTCGCTTAAGGTTCAGGTGGCCTCAGTGGCTTGGAATGCCTCCCATCACCTTCGGCTAGTGGCCCAGTTATGCCCCTGTCTGGACAGTGACAGCCTAACCTCTGTTGTCTATGCTCTGGTAACCTCTAGCTTGGATTATTGCAGCACGTTATACGTAGGGTTGCCTCTGAAGATGGTTTGGACGCTTCAGCCAGTGCAGAATTCAGCAGCCAGGTTGCTCACTGAGCACACCACACTGATTTTGGTCTGACTGCTCTGGCTGCCAATTAGTTTCCAAGCCAAATTTAAAGTGATGGTTTTGACCTATACAGCCTTAAACTGCTCAGGACCGCAATACCTGAAGGACTGCCTCTCCTCCATATAAACAATCTCTGACTCTGCATTCATGAATCTGAAGCCCTTCTTGGTTTGCCTCCTCCACGTGAGGTCCAGAGGGCCTTCTCTGTAGTGCCCCCCCCCCCGTTTGTTTAATGCTCTCCCCAGGGAAGATCGCCTGCTGCCTTCACTATATATATACTTTAGGTGCCAGGGGAAAACGTTCCTCTTCAAGCAGGCCCTGGGCTGATTAATATTCTACAGCTTTTTAAATGTGCCTAGACAGCATCTTAAAAAGCAGAGACATCACCTTGCCAACAAAAGTCCGTATAGTTAAAGCTATGGTTTTCCCAGTAGTGATGTATGGAAGTGAGAGCTGGACCATAAAGAAGGCTGATCTCTGAAGAATTGATGCTTTTGAATTACGGTGCTGGAGGAGACTCTTGAGAGTCCCATGGACTGCAAGAAGATCAAACCTATCCATTCTTAGGGAAATCAGCCCTGAGTGCTCACTGGAAGGACAGATCCTGAAGCTGAGGCACTGAGGCTCCAGTACTTTGGCCACCTCATGAGAAGAGAAGACTCCCTGGAAAAGACCCTGATGTTGGGAAAGATGGAGGGCACAAGGAGAAGTGGACGACAGAGGACAAGGTGGTTGGACAGTGTTCTCGAAACTACTAGCATAAGTTTGACCAAACTGCGGGAGGCAGTGGAAGACAGGAGTGCCTGGTGTGCTCTGATCCATGGGGTCACGAAGAGTCGGATACAACTAAACGACTAAACAACAACAACAATGGCTGACAAACGTTGGCTCCCTCGGCCAGTAAAGCAAGATGAGTGCTGCAACCCCAGAGTCGTCTGCGACTGGACTTAACTGTCAGGGGTTCTTTACCTTTTTATGAGACGGGGGCGGGGCTGTTCTGCTGCTTTGTTTCATTTATTTACTTGGTTTTTATCCTGTATTTTTATTCTGTGAGCAGCTCTGACATCTTATGAAGAAGGGCGGTATATATACGGTATATACAACAAACAAACAAGCAAACACTGGCAGTGCCCAGATGGCATCTGCCCAGCAACGCTATTGCTGATGCAACTGCTATCCCACATCTACAGAATTTTGGCAGTGGCATCAGTACAGCACCAACCCATGCTGCACCATTCTGGGTTTATACAATGCAAGCGAACTTGTTCCAAGAGCTGCAAGTGTTAACAGATCAACAGCCAACTAATACAGTGTAGTCAATGTGATATTATTGGACAGCAAATTCAATCATACCTGACCACTGTCCATGCTGTCTGGGGCTCAATGGGAACTGGAAGTCCAGCAATATCTGGAGGGCACCACATTGCCTGCCTCAATAGCAGGTCACAATCGCTGAATACAATGGCAGATTACTGTTCATTAACATCAGCACTGTGTCAGTTAATCGACAGGCCTGACCACAAATAAAAACCTTTGCACTCCCGAAATGCCCAACCCCACACTGACCAATTACCCACTCCAGCATCTGATTTGACAAACCAATAAATGTGACCATGGCTTTTTCTTAGTTTGTATATCTCAAGTTGGTAGCTACCTTGCCCGTCCTGATGAAACGACTGTACTAAAGTTACCAAAATAATAATCACAACAGCTGACACCCACTGGTGTTCCACTGAACTCAAAATGTACTTGCTTTTTAAAACCTTGGTACTTCACAATGCCAATAAGTCCTGAACTTGTTTCTCATCAAAGCTACAAGTTTGATGTGTTACAGCAACAAGGAATATTTCAAACTCTCACATGAAGCTAGAATACAAGGGGTGCATTTGTTCACTTTCTGTTTTATTAATTACTTAACTTAATTCATCAATTTATAGACTGCATACTGTTAAAAAAATGCTATCAAGTGGTTTACAAGGTAAACACCACAAAATTATAAATTAAAAATACAAATATTCCCTTCAAGGTCTTCAAAAGGGGCATCTTCACTGAGATTTGATAATATGTCATTTTATTTCAATTTGAAGAACCCATTAACCAGTTAAAAGCCAGAAAATTAATCATTTCGAACATTTTGTTTAACCGGGCTACTCATATAATCCCATCCTGTTCTGTCACGAATGGTTATGGCAGAAAATGGAGACATTACCCTGTGCCGACACTGCCTCATTGCTTCCTGCTTTCCTTATACTTTACAAGGTGTAATGTTTAGTTAGTGAAAACTGTTTTAAAATGGATTAAAAACATTAATAAGAAAAGGAAAGAATATGCAGATATTGGGCTATATTAAGCTACCGTGTCCCATCAGCAAAAGGATTTCTGTTTGTGCAATCGGACCCCCCCTGCCGCAGCTGGCCTGTGCCCCAGGCCCTTCACAAAACTGCTCCAGAGGGTTGGGAACAGAAGGGGGGCAGGAGAGAGGAGAACCCTGTTTTTGTGCAAGCAGAAACCCTTGTGCATAGTGCTACAATGGATCCTACCCATTACCTGCAGGATGAAGATGTTAATTCGCCCACCATACGAAAGGAGGCTCAGGTAAATCAGAGAACATGTGCCTTTTCCCAATGCATCCTCTCTGGCCATTCATGAGCACATGTGTGCTTCTGCATGCATCAAAAACGTAGGAGTGAGGCCCCTGAACTATTCTTAAGAGCTATTCTAAAGAACTATTCTTTAGGGATCCCTTTGATTTGGTTGCCACACAGCCATGTCTGCCAAGGACACTGCTGTCAAGAATCCTGGTGCACACATCAAATTCAAAAGGAGCACTGGGGAGGCCTGCAGGGGACCCATCCTGAACTGAGAGACCTCTTAGAAGAGGATTGGGTGACTGGATCTGGTCATAGGCTGCATCCTTATCTCTTCCACCCATGGCACAGGTGCCTTGGTTTTTTGTTCATGGCTGTGCATGGGGCTTTGCAAGCTCCGACTATCAGCTAAATGCCAGCCCTTGCAACTCGCTTTTGCACCTAACCATGTCTTCATCTGTAGGGCTGGAGTTTTCCTACTGCTGTTCTCAGAACTCAGCCAAAAGCTCCCTGGCGGCTCTGCATTGATGGAGAAGTTTGGAAGCCACAGCAAAGTTGTCAGAGGGATGTTTGTTCACCCTCACTCACCTTCTCATTCAGGAACCCCTCACATGCTTCCAGGGAACTCTGGGAAATGCAGCCTTGGAAAAATGCTTAAACACGGGTAAAGGTAAAGGTAAAGGGACCCCTGACCATTAGGTCCAGTCGTGGCCGACTCTGGGGTTGCGGCGCTCATCTCGCTTTATTGGCCGAGGGAGCCGGCGTACAGCTTCTGGGTCATGTGGCCAGCATGACTAAGCCGCTTCTGGCAAACCAGAGTAGCGCACGGAAACGCCGTTTACCTTCCCGCCGGAGTGGTACCTATTTATCTACTTGCACTTTGACGTGTTTTCGAACTGCTAGGTTGGCAGGAGCAGGGACTGAGCAATGGGAGCTCACCCCGTCGCGGGGATTTGAACCGCCGACCTTCTGATCAGCAAGTCCTAGGCTCTGTGGTTTAACCCACAGTGCCACCCGTGTCCCTAAACACGGGTAGTAGCAACACAACTACTGCCATAGTCTAAAAAGCCAACAAGGACAACAGCCCTTTCTTTCACTGGAAAGTTGGAAAATAGTGGGGCCCAGGGTAAGGCGTATACTAGCTCCCCACCTCAAAGTTGGGTGATGGTTCAGACTTCTCTGTCCTGCAAGCCCTTGGGTTGTGCAACAGGTTCCAGAACTACAGTGCCTCTGTATGTCTTCTAGAAATGAAAGGTGGTATATCATCATCACCATCATCATCATCATCAATAGGGCATCCACTTACAGGAAATGCAATGTGCTAAGGAAACAACAGGACTCCAATTTGCAGGTATGTTGATTTATATGCATTGGTGCGGAGGAGGAAGTCATGGCTATAATTTAAATAGAGATGCATCTCATAGTGCATTTCATAGTGGTGACCTGTGTGCCTCTTCAGTCTGCTGCAAAGGTGCTAATTAACTGCTGATGGGCCACTTGAAAGGTCCCTCCCTTGCTCTCAGATCTTTACACAGGACCTGGACCACAGGGCATCTTCGAATAAAGGACTTTCCTCTGTACAATAGGGCACTTGCCCACAGAACCAGAACTAACCCTGGGCCTCATAGGCATTGCTTGGAGTCAAGGAGGAGGAAGAAACTTTGGATTTAGTTTTGTTTTTGTTTTAAATGTTTCTTTGTTGTTCCCACCCAGCCCCCTTCATCTGCAGCCTTCCAGGCCTCTCTCACTCTCTTTTATCAAACTTTACCATTTCAGATACTTTATTTGAGAAGGGGTGGGGGGAATGAGGAGTGAGGTGAGGTGGGGGGAATTTAGCTCCAGCACTCCTTCCCCTTGGCCTCCTGGCTCCAGCTTGCGAACAAAGCCCCCATTTACTGCCTGAATATCACACTTATGTTTAAGGTATTTCCACCAGAAAAGAGAGAGACAGAAAAAAAATCCCAAACCTTTTTCCATGACCGAATTAGCTCACTTTTTTTTATGGCTAGCAAGCTGAGGCCTGTCTCGCAGACGGCAGAGCAGGAAAGTCTGAGCAAGCCTTGCGTTTTCCCCACCCGCTTCGCACCCCCTCATCCCCTTAGCATTGGGAGGGGAGGGGAAATTGCTGATTGCTGCACAGGCATCTGGCTTAACACACACACAAACACACACAGTTCCAATGAACCCGTTTTGTACAGGAAGGCAAGAAAAGGGAACAGGATGGATGAGTGACAAGCTGGGAAAGAAAGCCTTGGACTTGCGGCACATGGAATAATATAGGAACACAATAGGATTCAGCAGCATTCAGGGACTTGGGGGCCACTCGTGAAAATCCTGGCATCAACACTGGCAAAACCACTAAAATGCCCCAAGCCTACCCTGCATCAAATTCTGGAGCTCTTCAGCCTGGCATTTCTTCCCCGTCCATCCCAAGAGATTCAGTGGCTAGATAAGCCATCAGCAGCTCTCTTCCCTTCCAGCACCCAAGCTTAAATTGCTAGCTCAGCCTTTCATTCATGTCACATGTCCACCAAGACTCTTGCACCTGGCAGTCTCCAGACCTACATTAAGGTTTGATTTCTCAAAGCAAGAGGTCTTGCAGTTCATGCCCACTTCATATCACACCCGTTGACCCCACATTTTGGGCTCAAGAAACCTAGCAGTTGGGAAGATGCACTCTGTGCATGTTCAGGGGCCCTTTCATACTACCTGATCAGGGGCTGAGTCCTAGTACAGGCCCAAGGGATCAGATTCAAACTGCTCTCTTACCCCTTCATTTTGCTGCTGTGCTGTGCTGCTTAGTTCAGCACCTGCCCCTTCCTCAAGTCCCTACAGCGGCCACAGATAGAACTCCTTTCTCTGCTTCTGCTGCCGCTGCTGCATTCAAAATTCTGGCCCTTAAACAGTCAGGAGCAGGGCCAGACATGACTTTGGGAGAGTCTTCTCTTTTTAAAGTTAAAAGTTAGACTTCCCCTAGTCTAAATCGCTCTCCTTATACAGACACACACGCACACACACCACACACACTTATGCACATCTCACTTGCACACGACCACATTTATGCGGGTCGGAGTGAAACAAACAAACAAACAAACAAACAAACAAACAAACAGACTGGCCTTCCCTAGGTCAGGGCTGCTGCCCAAGTGAGGGAAAATAAGACTTTGTTTGACCAGCGGCGCAAGGCAGGAAGCGCCTTCTCCCTGCCTCCACTGCATGCCCATGCCCTCACCCTGGCACCAATTTTGCTGAGGGTCCTTCTCGGCTTTTGCCCTCCGTGGCCAGCCGCCACTGCGCAAACTAGCCCCTGCCCAGTTAGGGAAAACGTGTGGATGCCTGTGGGCTTCCTTCCTTGGAGTCCTCACCTATTTAGCTGCCTTTTCATGTCCACATTATCTTACATCAGGGGTCAGCAACCTTTTTCAGCCGTAGGCTGGTCCACTGTCCCTCAGACCATGTAGTGGGCGGGGGGGGGGTGAATGAATTTCTATGCCCTACAAATAACCCAGAGATGCATTTTAAATAAAAGCACACATTCTACTCGTGTAAAAACACCAGGCAGGCCCGACAAATAACCCAGAGATGCATTTTAAATAAAAGCACACATTCTACTCGTGTAAAAACACAAGGCAGGCCCGACAAATAACCCAGAGATGCATTTTAAATAAAAAGACACATTCTACTCATGTAAAAACACTCTGATTCCTGGACCATCCGTGGGCCGGATTTAGAAGGCGATTGGGCCGCATCTGGCCCCCGGGCCTTAGATTGCCTATCCCTGTCTTATACCATGTGGATACTTGGGTGAAAAGGAAAGCCGTTCTGCAAGGACTCTTCCCACCTACAAATTGGAACCACATCATGACGAATGGCACTGGGGAAGGTCACCCTTTAGCTGTACAGTGGTACCTCAGGTTACATACGCTTCAGGTTACATACGCTTCAGGTTACAGACTCCGCTAACCCAGAAATAGTACCTCGGGTTAAGAACTTTTCTTCAGGATGAGAACAGAAATCGTGCTCCGGCAGCGCGGCAGCAGCAGGAGGCCCCATTAGCTCAAGTGGTGCTTCAGGTTAAGAACAGTTTCAGGTTAAAAACGGAACAAATTAAGTACTTAACCCGAGGTACCACTGTATAAGGATTGGATACACCAAGCGCTTGTTGGGAGAAAATACATATATATACAGTGGTACCTCGGGTTAAGTACTTAATTCATTCTGGAGGTCTGGTACCTCAGGTTAAGTTCTTAATTCATTCTGGAGGTCCGTTCTTAACCTGAAACTGTTCTTAACCTGAAGACCACTTTAGCTAATGGGGCCTCCTGCTGCCACCGCGCCGCCGAAGCCCAATTTCTGTTCTTATCCTGAAGCAAAGTTCTTAACCTGAAGCGCTAAAGTCACCAGAAAGACAGAAGCTCAGCTTGTGCTTCCACACCAGCTCCTCTTTCACACCAGGCGCGAGCCCAGAACGCTGCGGTGTGCGCAGGTGTGGCAAGTTCCATCCCCGCGCTGGGGTCAAATAAGGGATTTCACAGGGCGGGTAGGGCCAGCAGGGATACGAACTGGCTCACCTGGTATGGGTGGGTGAGTGCTGTTCCTCCTCCCTCAGGCGTGTGTCCAAGAGCAGGCAAGGAAACAGGAGGTGCCAGTCCGGTGGCTTCGGCAGCCAGGAGGGTGGTGCCCGACGCCTTGAAGGGAGGCGAGGCTGTTTTGCTGATTATTCCCCAAGTCAGGATTTGCATGGCACCGCTTCAGAGGGCTTGGCTGCATCCGCCGGCCTCCTGCCCTCACTTCCCTGAAATGTTATCCTGGCAGAGGGGACTCCGCACTGGCCAGCCCACTTTCGAAGTCCCTCCATCTTGGAACCCCCCTGTCTCTCCCTCTCTCACACGTCCTTGGAACCACCCAACACACAAAAACTCCCTGCCACCGCCACCTCCTGTTTGGCTGGATTCGAACCAGAAATGTCAAAGCCCACACCCAATCCAACCCGCTCACACACACACACACCCCACCCCGCTGCTTTTAGGACAGATTGACAACGCAGCATTCACATCATCCTGTCAATAGGTGTTGTGCTTACGGGCCCTGGGGGTGTTGTGGAGAGGTGAGTCAAGGCCAGGACACCAAGGAGAGAAGAGTGAGAGTTGGCGTGGGAAACCAGGCAAGACTGTGCGAGGGTGTGGGCCGCAAGGGGGAGAGAGGTGGGGCCGCAGCTGGATTCTAGAACAACCATCGCCTACATGGAGGAGGGAAAGAACCAAACCGCTTTATTTAGGTGGCGGTGGGGAGACTGAGACATGCTGCGTGCTTGCCAGAGGTACAAATCAGGGCACATCCTCTCTCTCTCTCTCTCCCACACACACACAGCCCTCTCTCACACATACGCGCATATGTACATATCTCAGGGCAACAGCTAACTTCTCAAACTCTGTGCACTCTCTCACTTTGGCACAATGTTTAGTTTGCTCATGTACATGACTGTTCTGCGCCCCTGCCCCTGGCTATAACACTGTGGTGCTCAGTTCATGCAACCAGGCAGTACAGCAGGAGTGTTTCAATAACCAGAGGTGGTCGCGATGTTGTTGTTTAGTCATTAGTCGTGTCCGACTCTTCGTGACCCCATGGACCACAGCACGCCAGGCACTCCTGTCTTCCACTGCCTCCCGCAGTTTGGTCAAACTCATGCTGGTAGCTTTGAGAACACTGTCCAACCATCTCGTCCTCTGTCGTTCCCTTCTCCTTGTGCCCTTGATCTTTCCCAACATCAGGGTCTCTTCCAGGGAGTCTTCTCTTCTCATGAGGTGGCCAAAGTATTGGAGCCTCAGCTTCAGGATCTGTACTTCCAGTGAGCACTCAGGACTGATTTCCTTAAGAATGGATAGGTTTGATCTTCTTGCAGTTCATGGGACTCTCAAGAGTCTCCTCCAGCACCATAATTCAAAAGCATCAATACTTCGGCGATCAGCCTTCTTCCATACATCACTACCAAGGCACAAACAACATAAGCCGGGGCAACTGCTACAGCCATCTTATCATCATCCCTGGTGGTGAAGCCTGTGAAGAACTGTCTCCGCAACCATGTCTCTTGACCACTACTGGGTGCACATGAAGAAACTCCCTTACACAGGAACCGGCAGAACTGCCTGAAATAATACGCTTTCAAAGAACAGCTTCTGCCAGAGATCGTGATGCTCTGCACAATAGCTTAAAACCACTTCCATCCCCGTTTGACCAATCTGCCTCCCAGCCAAGGAGACTCGACAGCGGCAGTTCTTGCAGAAAGCAAAGCGCTAGGAATCTCAAGCAAAGACTTCTTAGCACCCTCACACAACGACACTAACCGCAATTCTTTGGGGCCAGACTATGACGATTGCATCACTTTCAAAACTGTCTAAACTTGCAGCACAGACCCCGATCCCTGCCATGCCAGATATCCACAGGCCCAACAGCAACTGCGGTGATCCCAGCACAGATCACTGCTAGCACAGACTTACCGGCAGGAGTAACTCAGGCGGGACGGCAACAACAAAAAGCCAGCGCAGGGAGGATGAAGACAGATATAAGACATATGTACCGTATATAACTCACAACACAGTGTTCAGGTGCAGAGTGAAGCCAGCTTCCTCATTGGCTTTGTAACCAAAATGACTAACGTGCTATTCAGAAAACTGAATGCCGGCTCAGCCAGTCATCTTTCCCCTCCACCCATCCTTCAAGCGTACTGTTTGTTTATTTATTTATTTTTAAAGTGTTGCGTGAAGATTCATATATTTCTGTTCAAACTTCTCTCCCCACAATGACATTTTAAAAAAGATTTTTTTCTTTTTTTCAGTGCAAAGCTGCTCCAAGGGTTTTTGGTAACATCATATCAACACTGCGTGCAGCCAGCTGCTGTTTCAAACTTGGAGAACCATTCCATTTTCAGGGTTCAGCTCTGGAGAGAAATATAACCCAAAATCAGAAGTTGGTTTCTGCCAATTGAGATCTGGCTTCCCCACCCCCCACTGCTTCTTTTTCTGGTCTTCTTGGCTACATAGTCTGCAAGTTCCTTAGGACAATATCTCTGCAGGTACATGGCAGCAGAACAGGAACCTATGATAATAATGGACTGACACAGCCATAAAAGGATGACCTGCAGAAGTTAGGATTCAGAGCACTGATTGTTTTGATGCTTCGGGGTGCACCTAGAACAGGCATATGCAAACTCAGCCCTCCAGATGTTTTAGAACTACAACTCCCATCATCCCTAGCTAACAGGACCAGTGGCCAGGGATGATGGGAGTTGTAGCCCCAGAATATCTGGAGGGCTGAGTTTGCCTATGCCTGACCTAGAATGAAAAATTTTCCCACCTCAGAATTTTTCATGCTTTAAACTACAATAATGGAACATGGTATCAGGGAAAAGGGGTTGCGTTCCCATTTCTCTGTCCTCCACGTGGACTGCGCAGCCCTTAATTCATCCTATCAGCACAAGCTGTAGCTTGCGATCCAATAAATATACTCAAGTCCCATGTGGAAGTGCCCTTAGGCTATGTAAAAAAGGCAGCGCTCTCTCTAGGAAGAGATACCTTTCAATACAGGGGTTTAATGCTACAGTCACCTATTTGAACTGTGCCACCTGTGCTGATCTTCCTAGTCTGTTTGGATTAGCCGTATTCAGAATAGGTGTCGGCACAGTCCCCTCTGCTCCTTGAGGATATCAGGTGTGTAGCTTCAGCACACCTGACAACACCTCGCACACTCCTGCACCGGGAAGCACTTTTAGGAACATTAGCTTCACGCAACAAGCAACACAACTTGATTTTTCATCTGGTAGATTTGTATATGTTGAGTTGTCCACAAGACACATGTCCCAAGTTAATGCAGCTGGCTAGGAGCACCAGTTCACTCTTTGGATATTTTTCAAGGTGCGCTGTGTGTCTCACTGCTTTACAGAAGCTTGACCCATTCATGAAACACACAGAAGATGTCAGCTCATTCACTGAAAAAGAAAGAACTGCCTGTATTATGGTCCTAAATCCGAGATGAAAAACTGCTCTGTTTCTCTGTCTGCTTCCCTGACAAATGTTGGATCTCATGCCTCCTGTTTTGCTTTCGAGCTTTCCATTTATCCCACCCTCCCCTTGACAAAGTAGCCCAAGTATCTGCAGCTTGTCCTAACTTGCAACATACCACATGACAGAGTTTTTCCTCTCTCTGTACCAAGCCGTTGCCCACCACCTACCCGAAGTATGTCCTTGGCTATACCACACAAACTATGGCCATTTCTCCCCACGTCCCGCCAAAACGATTCATGTACACAGGGGCTGTACTGTGTCTGTGCATGGTAGCTGTGCCCTTACAGCTTCCTGAGGCCAGGGCTGCATCAGATGAATGCTACGTAAGCCATAAGTGAGCACGTTCTATCACTGTGCCATTGAGAGCGTGCTCACTTATGGCTTATGTGTGTGGTACGGAAGCTGTACTACCCAGGACAGGATGGGGTTGTGCAGGGTTGTTAAGGCAGCAGAGAGCATTGTTGGCTGCCCACTCTCCACCTTAGAGCAGATTTATGCCACAAGGTGCCATAGGAAGGCACTGGACATAGTAAAAGATCCATTGCATCCTGGTCACTGTCTCTTCGAGCTCTTGCCGTCGGGATGGAGATACAGGACGATGAAGACAAGAACAAGCCGTCTTAAGAACAGCTTCTTCTCCAGAGCGATCTCGGCCCTGAATGGGAAGCCCGGACTTTGAAAGTCATCTAATCTCCATTGCTGTATTATACTGTATTGATTAATTAGTGTTTTTATGGAGTAGTCAATTAATTTCGTTGTCCCCGAAGGGGGCAATGACAATAAAGATATTATTATTATTATTATTATTATTATTATTATTATTATTACATACACGCATGCATGCAAGCAACAGGGAACTCCAGCACTATGGCCATGAGCACATCTTTATTTTCCAAAGTCTGTTGTCCACATGGGTTTTTTTTATCTTTTCGGATGGGTGTTCAAGGGCTGAGCCAACATTTCCTTTCTCTTTGTTCCTGACCTGCAGCTCATGAGCTCACAGCCTAGTTGTCCTTCAAGGTTAAGACTAGGCATTGTTGGTGTGGATCAGATTTAATAACAACCCCTGGGATAAGGACTGTGGGTAGTATAACACACCATTTAATAACTTCCTTGCTCACCAGAACGATTCTCAACATTCAGCAGGGCATCTCTAAGGTCTAACTTCTGCTATGCCCTAACAGAAGTTGGATATGGTAGCAGGTTCCATATCTCAGGATTATATTCCAACCTAGCAAGGCAGGTACTTCCATTACTCAAACTTAAGCAGAGTATGTCACTTAGCGGTCAACTCAAACCCACCACAGCCTTGGGGAGCATAGCAAGAACATGTTAATCCTTTGGACAGCACGCTCCTGCTTCTTCCATTAAACCTTGGTTCCTCTGTCAATGGTGCAAGAGAGACAATGGATTTATGAAGCAACAGAGGGATGGTGAATCGTTTGTGCCAGGGCAATGATATTCTCCCCAGTTTCCTACTGACACCACCTGCCCCTGCTTTTGTTCATAAAAAGGGCAGGGTGGATCTACAAAAACCACTTTGCTGCATTGTTTTCTAGGAAGCAAATCATGCTTCTGGGAAGCTCCTATCCACATGAATCTCACTGCTTTCAGGCTCCCCAACACTAAAAAGGTGACGTCTTTCTAATACAACTTCTCAATCTGTGGGGCAGGGCGCGCCAACTCATTTGTAGATAGGGGAAACTGTGGAAGGCACCATGCAGCAACGATGCACATGCTCTCCCTTCCACCAGGAATTAGGCTTGGGAAAGGTTTTTTCTTTTTGCTTTTTCTCAAGTTATTGGGGGGAGGGTTTTGATCTTTATGGGGAGCGCAAGTCAGAAGGCAAGAGATAACCTTCCCTCCACAGCTGCAAGCTCCGGGAAGACCACCCCCCTCTTGAAGCCAGTGGAAGGTCTCTTTCAAGCCTAATTTCAGCAAGGGGCAACAGGACCCTATTATGGGTGCTAGGAAAGGTCTCTGTGGGCACATGCACACCAACAGGTGCCACACTGGATATCTATCAGCAAGGGGACCTAAGAGACCAGACCAAATATCCTGACTCATCCTTCTAATGTGCCACCTCTACTGAAAAAGGAGGGAACCTGAAGTTAGGCTGTGTCCACACTCCTGTTTGCTGGGCACTTAACTGCATTTCCAGGGGTGGGTTTTTAATCTGAATTCACACAGCGTTATCCAAAATGCATGCGTGTCCTGTACTTTGTTATAAGATACTAGTGTTTGGTGTGTTGTTTCTCAAACCAGCCTCACACCAATGGGAGTCCTTAAGCCTTTCCTAATTAGTCTCTAGCCAAGGTGTGAACACACTTAGAATGCTGCTATGAAAAGAGAACGGATTCTGCTTGTTACTCCATTCAGCACTTTGGGAAGGGAAGAGCTCAATCAACCTTATTTTGGCCAGCAACCTTTTTTTTAAACTAGCTGTTTTCCTCCCCTTTCGGGCTAGCATGAGAAGCTGTTAAGATATATTTTTTAAAGCCAAAAGAGCAGCAAGGGAAAGGGGGCCAAGGAATGGACAGGGATAGGCAGAGCTGCCTGAGCTAAGTAAACCCGAATTCAGCAAGCAGAATTATTCAAATTAAGTACATCTGCATGCATTGCTTACTTTGCATGGAGTCCAAATAGAAGCCCAGGAGAGGGAGCAGTAAATTATGGGAGGGAGAGGACTGTAGGAAACAACAATGCCCTACTTTTGGACCACCATCGCTCCCCTAGTTTGGACCTTCCTTGGATGATGCTCACACATTTTCACTCTCTATAACCTCAAGGGCAAGAAATTTGTGTGTACTGTATATAGATATCACTTCAAGGCTTTTTATTACAATCAAATGGTGTATAAATTTTTCTTTCTGAATCAATGCTAGTATCTATATCTGTATCCATGGGATGTCCAATTCTTTGCAAACACAGCAAGTTTTTTGACACACTGCAGACACACAATGCTAGTGTGATGGTACCCAATACGATTTTTTTAAAAAGTGAAGAGCCTTTGGAAGAAGGTATTTATTTCCCACGAGAGCCATGATTTGCCATAGCCTGTGTCTACAAACACTTACAGTCCATTTAAATCAACACCCTCCAACACACATCATCATGGGAACTGCAGTTTACACTCACAGTTCCTAACACCATTTACAAACTACGGTTCCCAGGATTCTTTGGGGAGGGGGACACACCATGTACTTTTAAATGCATGGCGTGCAGGCAGCTTCCAGTTGGTAGCCACCCCATGGCTACCCTTCTATATAGCCTTTAATAGAGACATCTCAACATACAGTGGTACCTCAGGTTAAGAACTTAATTTGTTCCGGAGGTCCGTTCTTAACCTGAAACTGTACTTAACCTGAAGCACCACTTTAGCTAATGGGGCCTCCCTCTGCCGCTGCACAATTTCTGTTCTCATCCTGAAGCAAAGTTCTTAACACAAGATACTATTTCTGGGTTAGCGGCGTCTGTAACCTGAAGCGTATGTAACCTGAAGCGTATGTAACCCGAGGTACCACTGTACCTCCAAGACAAAGCATCACACCCAGCTTTGCGAAGTAGGTCAGTGCTATCCCCATAGGGCAAGTGCAGAAACAAGAGGCCCACATGACTCACATGGGGAGGCAGGAGGCTGGACAAAATCCAGAAATCCTGATTCCTTACCTAGCCTCTGGAAATGCAATCCCTAGCCAGCGTTCCGCTGACCTGTGGAGAGAAATAAGGAGTCCTGCTACTCACAGACACTTCCAAGGAGGCGAGTTCACACCCTGGTAAGAAAGGCTCGCTACCTCCTGCTATCGAGCCCTCTGGCCAGGGTATGGGCACTTTATTAGCGCAGAGGGCCTCATCAGGATTTTACAAGCCAAGAGTCACAATTAAAGAAGCATTATTTCCATTCCACATTCTTTTCATCATCTCATTTTTTTTTTCACATGACAAAGCTACAGCTGTTAGACACTTATTTCAAGAGGAGTTGATTTCAAAACGTGCTCCAGAAAACCCCGCAGTTCTTTGGAAGTGCACCAGACGTTTCTCAATAAGAAGGTCAGCGTTGGCAAACAAGGGTCCTTGAATAGCAGGTCACCCACCATTACCAATCTCCTCCTGGAATGTGCAGGGGGAGAACTGTGTTCTGAGGCTCATATGGGGCTACAGCAAAGCAAAAGAGACCTGGATGATGCCCTGTATGAATGGGGATCATACTCTAGGTCAGGATTGGAGAACCTGCGGCCCTCCAGATGTTGTTGGACTCCAACTCCCATCAGCCCCAGCCAGCATGGCCAACGGTCAGAGATGATGGGAGTTGTAGTCCAGTAACATCTGGAGAGCTGCAGGTTGCCCGGCCCTGCTCCAATACATGTTTTCAAACGTGGTCTTCAGCCACAATGTGTTGACCAAAACATGAGAAAACAAAAATAGGGTGTGTTGTTTCCACATTGTGGACGATTTTTTTGAGCTGCTTTGGAACTGCTGCTGTTGCAGTGTGTGTGTTGCTTTGTGCTGTGTTTTCTGTTTTGTAATAAAAGGCAAAAAACAAACCAACCCCAAAATGGAGGGAGAGGAACTGGTCTCCAGTGCTTTCAAACCTGAGAGCCACTTTTGACCCAAACAAACATTTTGGGACACATTCCTTTATTTTATTTTATTTCTTTTTGGTGTGGTGGCAGTGCTGCTCGTGCCTCATCTCACATCAGCTCAAGAGCCAGCAGTGTGTCTCAGTTCCAATGCTCTAGAACAGAGATGAGGAACCTGTGGCTCATCGAACATTGGTGGACTTCTAAATCCCACCACCCCTGACTATTGGCAAGGTTAGCCATCCTTGCTCTACAACATTTACCCGAATCCTCTGCATTCTGTATAAGTTTTACTGGACAGAATTCTGGCTGTTTATCAGACATTCTCAATAAATTCTGGTAACTTATTTCTACAGCTACGACTGCCACAATGACTACTACTATTTAGCATGCCTGCAGCCTGCTGCATGTTGCACAGAACACACACACACACACACAAAGTGAAGGAACACTGTCTTCACTCAGAGTTGACACTAAAACTCTGGACACCTAAGAGCAGGTTGAACAAAATTGCAGCTTCTGCTCACTCACATACTCCGTGATCGTGACCAGTGGTGGCTAGGGTTGGAGGGCCACAGGTTGCAAACCCCTGAATCAGAGGGACAGAACTAGAGCAGGGGGTGGCGGGAAGAAGTAAGACTTGGAAAAGGAGTGCCAGGAGTGGGGGAAGATAAGATCAGAACGGTCATGAGGACTAGAAACAACATTTAAATAAAATAAACTCTAATGAGAACCACACAGAAGTGTATTGGGGCAATATGCAGCCCCTGCTCACTGTTTTCACATCATGTGATCAATCCCTTTAAAAGAAAAGCAGTACCGACACATCTGCAGCCAAGCTGAAGTGACTAGAAAAGGGGCCAGATCAGGCAAAAGACTCAGACAGAAAACCTGGGTTCCAAGATGCACTCAGCCATGAAGCTCATCTGACTACCTTCAGTATCCCTCAGCCTAATCTAGGCTGCTGTGAGGATAACATGGCCAGGAATGCACCAAATATGCTGCCCTGAGCTAAGTGATGTCATAAAGGTAGGAGAAATTGCTGTTATGTGAGTTGTTCCCATGGTAGGCCACAGAGTAATAGGCACATCATGAACGGAACGAGGTCTGCACTCAGATCAGCCTTGCAAATGAAGTCCTCAGAAGTTACTAGCCCACCCAGCCAGAGGGTCCTTTACAGCACAAAGTAAAACAAGACAAGACAAACCCAACACCTGTAATGTTTCCCTGCATGGATCGCCTAGACGCAGTTTGCTACTCATCACAGGCAACCAGTCAAGAAGCTATTTACAAACCTGAATTTAATTGCACCTCTTTAACGGTTTATTTTTGGACAAATGTTCTGGCTAATGACTAAGGTCAAGGAAGTGTTCCATTCCACAGAACCAAAAGCAACCGCAGTCGGGATTCAAGAAGAGTCCATCTTTGCTAAGATATCTCATTGCTGGGTCTTGGAAGTGAGCCCAAATCCAGTTCCTTAGAGACGGGAAGACACTACTAGCCCATCTCCAGTCCAAGGTGAATTCTTGCCCATTTTTGCTCCGAGCTAATAAGTAGGGAGAAGGTGGTCTCATTTTATGACCAAGGAGACACCTGATGGGAAGGGGAATCAGTTTTCCTTTCCACACAGTATTTCCATCTGCACAACCTGGAGAATCTAGACCTTGCTCTTCTTGAACAATACGTCAATTTAGCTGCATACCTGTCAGCCTTTCCTCCATGTTTACAGTAGGGAGAATAGTCCCACCCTGCCTCAAACAGCAGAAGATGCCCAGGTGCACTGCTAGCTTGGGAGGAAGAAGAGGAGAGATACAATGGGAAATGAAGTTGAGTGATGGAGCAATCCCCAAATTTTCCTTTAGGGGGTGCTCACTTAAAAGAGCCAAACTGTACCTGGGTTCCATTTTCCCACTAAAAGCTTCACATACATAGGTTAATACGTAAATCTACAAGAACAGCCCAAGAGAGAGAGTGTGGGAGAGATTTCAAGGTCTGTGTGGGGTAACATACAGACAACCTGATGCCTATTTTTGGAATCCTATAAGGTCACCATGTACTTGACTGAGGGTCACACATCTGGGCCTTAGAATGAGCTCCATTGCTATGCTGGCGCCTAGAGAAGCTCACCAAGGTAACAAGAGTCCTTGCCTACTCAATAGATCAAGAACAGGGACAGAGACATGTTAGTCATGGTCATCGCCATTCCAGCCCAAGCCAACAGGCAACACGAGATGGGCTCTTTGAACACACAACAAGTTGTTGTACACAGAACAAACATGAGGGAGAGACTGTGGTTTAGGGCAACAGCTACAGATGGATGGATGTGTGGATGTCAACAGAGGTCCCTGTATGGGAGGAAAATTGGGGAATCGAAAAGGAAATGAATGGACAGGACGTTTTGTGATATGGCAGCTACAGGATGGATTTATGGATGTTGAAAGAAGGCTTCCTTGCTCTGTTCCTGGCATAAACCAGGAATCGGTCAAGGAACAACTGTGGGATCCATAGCTGTCAACCTTCCCCTTTTTTGCAGGAAATTCCCTTATTCCAGCGTCGTTTCCCGCTGCTATCCCGGATTGTTAGATATCCCGTAGACTGTCCCCAGGACAGGTGAGGCTGCTGATCCCTTATTTCCAAATCTGAAAGTTGACAGCTATGGTGGGATCTGAACCATCTCCCCCCCCCCCCGCAATAGTTAATTAATTGAATGGCAATGGGTGCCAAGATGGCGGCACTGCTTACCTGGGAAGGCCACACACCCAACACAGAACTGAGCACTGGTAAGTCATGTGGCTATTATTTTGGGGGAGGGGGTTGCAAGAAGGGGGGGTATTATCCAAAGCACCCCGGAACTTCCCAAAGAGTCTCCAGAAGGCAGCCTTCGATCAGCCCCGTCTTCCTCTGAAGGCTCAGACGCCTGGAGACCCATCGCCCTTCCGCTCCACCCACTGCCCGGCTTTCCCCTCCAAAACAGAGCTGGAACCTCAGAAGAACCTCCTGCCCTTCTTGCTGGGAAGCAGCTCTCCCTCAGGAGCGCCGTGGGCAGCCGAAGGCAAGGCGGCTCGGCGCCCCCAGCTTCCGCCTGCTCCCCTGCGCCATATGCTTGCCAGCTTCAGACGACGCGGGTTCGAGCAGGAGCAGAGATGCTGAAGGCGCAGGAGAGAGAAGGAGGCAGGTTCAAAGAGCAACGGCGCCTCTCCGTCGGCGCGCGCAAAAACCCAGCCCGGGGTTTGCCTACCCTGCGCCCTCTTGAATTGCCGCACAGCTGTGCCCGTGGCTGAGGGCGCCTTCCCACGATCAGAGGTCAGGAACACAAACCCAGCATCGGGAGAAGACATCCCTCGAAGCCCTAAGCGGGATCACAGGAGAGCGACCACTGAAGGCCACCAAGTGGACCCAGCTCACGCGCGCAGAGATGCCCTTGCACGCACTCCTCCCCGCTCACACGTGCACCGGCCCCAATGCCACACTCCACTCCATTCGGGCGCTCGGCAGTCGCTTGCCTCGCACGTGGGGCCGCCGAGCAGTCGCCAAGGTCTGTCGGCTCAAGAGACACCCGCTCTCCTCGCCCTCTCTCCATACACACGTGCGCGCGCTCCAACAGCCCGATCCCCCCACCCACAGCGCCACGCGAAAAGTTTTTTTCAAACAGCAGGCTTCAAGGCCTCGGGAAGTCAAAAAGAAAAAGTCAGCAGATACGTGTCCACCCAGCCCACTGCCCCCCCCCCGCGCGCCACAAAAAGCCGGCGCAGTGGCGAGGAAAGTAAATCCAGATGCAGAACTCGCCATCTGACCTCTCACGCCTTCTGTCCAGGCCCCGCGTGCTGCCCACTCACCTGGTCGTCTGAGTGGGCTCGACACGCAGAGAGAACACCTGGAGCCGGGGGAACTTTCCACGTCCCGTCTCTCTCTCCCTGCTGTTCCTGAGCGAGTGTGAGCCTCCCTCTCGCTGAGAATCACTCTCTCTCTCTCTCTCTCTTTTCTTTTTTTTTTTAACGTTCACTAAGAAATCATTATACTCGGCTATTCATAACCCCAGCAGATCATGTGACACAGCCCTGAAAATATACAGCACATTTTTTCAAAAACCACAGAATGACTTCAGGCGAAGACACGGAAAATATTTTCTCTCTCCTCCTCCTCTCGCTGCTGCTGCTGCTGCTGCTGCTGCTGCCGCTCCCCCCTGCGCCCAGGCGTCTGTCAGCTTGTCAAAAGGACTTGACATCAGGACTGTGTCGGTGGCACCGAGCGGAGTGCTTTCCTCCATCAAGAGAGGGAGGAAAGGATGCATCCCGAGTCTGGACCTCACCTACAGAGGGACAGACAGACAGACACACTTGTTTTCCTTGTGATTTTTTTTTTTAATATAAAAAAACCAGGAAGGAGAGACCAACCCACCAACTCTGGATTAGCACTTCTGCTGCCACAACCATAAACTAGTGCTCTGCGTTTAGGAGAGAGTTTGGGGCCATTTCAGAGTCTCCAAGGCATGAACCTTACCAGGTGCAGTTTTTAAACTGTGTGGCAGGGAAAGATGACGTCCCTCTGAAGTTTAGCAGAAGTTTCTCTGAGAAAATCAGAAACGAGTGCTTGCTGCCTGCTAGTGATCTCTCTCTCTGTCTGTCTTGCAAACCTATATGTGCATCTACTGAGAGGGGTCAGCAAATGTTTTCATCAGGGGGCCGGTCCACTATCCCTCAGACCTTGTAGGGGGCCAGACTATATTTGGGGGGGAATAAACGAATTCCTATGCCCCACAAATAACCCAGAGATGCATTTTAAATAAAAGCACACATTCTACTCATGTAAAAACACCAGGCAGGCCCCACAAATAACCCAGAGGTGCATTTTAAATAAAAGGGCACATTCTACTCATGTAAAAACATGCTGATTCCCGGACCGTCCATTGGCCGGGTTTAGAAGGCGATTGGGTTGGATCTGGCCTCCGGGCCTTAGTTTGCTTACCCATGGAGGAATGTCAAGGGTCTGAGTGTGGTCCAGGGGACCTGAGCCCCAGGTCTTTTGCACAAGGGCTGTGTACACACCATACACTGAAAGCACATTTCACACACACCCCAAATAAGCCTGGGAACTGTATCTTATCCCCAACAGAGCTAAGATTCCCAGCACCTTAAACTGTGGTTCCCAAGAGTTGAGAATCACCTTCTCTCTCTCTCTCATTCCCCCCTCCTCACTCAGATGTGCTGCCCCTTTCCCTCCCTTTTCAAAAAGACTTGCTTACAGGGAAGCTGGGCCCACAACAGTGCTGGTGAGGAATCTATACATATAAATTAGCATATGCACATGGACCTGTGCCCACAATCCTTGTAGCTAGCAGTGCTGTCTGTCCCGGCAAGACTGCTTTATGATGCAATGTCAGTTTGCATGGGTTGATGGTAAAGTATAAGAACATAAGCAACTTAATCCGGCAGTGGCCAATCTGGATGTCCATGGAAAGCCTGCAGGAAGAACCTGAGCTCAAAAACACTCTTCCCGCCTGTGATTCCCAGCAAGTCAGAAGAGGTCTAGTCAGTGACCTGGGTGAAATGGGTGTGTGCTGTAGAACGTATCCCAGAAGACTCTGCAATCCCTGGCAGCCTCTCAGGGCTTCCTTAGTTTGCAAGCCAATGTGGAAATGGTTAGAATATAGGAAGCTGCCTTGCAGATTGTGGCTCCCATCCTATTTAGCTCAACGGCCGGGGCTCTCCCACATTCCAGACCGGGGAACTTGGGACCATAGATATCACAGAATTGTAGAGTTGGAAGAGACCCTAAGGACCATCTAGTGCCCCTGCAATGCAGGAATATGCAGCTGTCCCATATGGGGATCGAACCTGCAACCTTGGTGTTATCTGCACCATGCTCTAGCCAACTGAGCTATCCTTTTACAAGCTGTTCAAGCCCTTCCCTCAAGGTAGAAAGTTTGGAAACTACTGTGCCACATCAACTGTACATCAATTTGAAGGCCAAGCAACCCAACATTATGTTTGCCAGGATGGCTATTATTTATGTCATCCACCACTTGCACGGTGCAATTTGCCAGGAATCACCAACGCCACAAAGCCACCGCTCCTCACCACCTTTGCCTCTGTGCTAAACTCGCACCAACTTTTGGGGCAGGAGAAACATGCTAAATTCTGACCATGATAGATAAAGAGTTTAAGTCAGGGGTCAGCAAACTTTTGCAGCAGGGGGCCGGTCCACTGTCCCTCAGACCTTGTAGGAGGCCGGACTGAATTCCTATGCCCCACAAATAACCCAGAGATGCATTTTAAATAAAAGCACACATTCTACTCATGTAAAAACACGCTGATTCCCAGACTGTCCGCGGGCTGGATTTAGAAGGCGATTGGGCCGGATCCGGCCCCTGGGCCTTAGTTTGCCTACTCATGGTTTAAGTAGCCATCTGTTGGTCCTGGCAAGGGAGAAGCAAGCCTCGTCTCTTTGTGAACAACACAGCCTCCAATCATGACTGGATATGATATGAGAGACTACAGTTGGGGGGGGGTAGTGCCCTATATTCTCACCAGCTCATAAGCACCGGTGACTCTTTTGGCCTCACCCGCTGTTTTTCAAGTCAGATTTGCCAGTTGTTGTGCACACCAAAGAGGGGACAGGGATGTCCTCACCCAATGTGCTTTACATGTCTGGTGTTCTCACCCCGCAACCTCCCCCAATCTCCTATTTGCAAAGCTGTCAGCTGCGCATGTGCTGTTATCCAAGCATGTGCAATGGCCGTCTCGAATGTGCACACCTCAGCTTAACTGTGATGGGAATGTGGATGAAATTTCCCTCTCGAATGGAAGCTGGTTTGACAGTAGCACTTCTCAAGAAACAGCAGGATAGCTCTGCATTGTGGGTAACACCACATGTACACAGATTCAAAGCCAGCCATGGGGCCAGAGTAAATGGTAATACATACACACCCTAAGAAATCAACCTGGACGAAGAAAAGTAAGTGTGCCACTGCTACTTACTTACAACGTTTTTTAAAATTACTTTGCAATTGTTTCTACCCTATATTACCCAAAACACAAAGCATGAGCCACAACCCTGTGAGCTAGGGGTCCAGGTGGTTCTGGACTTGAACTTTCGGACTCAGTGTTGCTCAACCCCAGGTTCAATGTAGGGCCGGGGTGTGGAACCTATTTAAACCCGAGGGCCACATTCTCTTCTGGGCAACCATGCCTGTGGTGGGCAGAGCCAGAAGCAAAAGTGGGCGGAGCAACAAATGTTGCTGTCTCTCTCTCTTCTCCGCACAGGCAAACAAAAGGCATCACCAGAGTTCAATGACAAATTCCACCTGGGCAAAGGCACTCAAGGAGGGTGCAGAAGGGAACGTGCTGTGGCCTGGAAAGACTCCTGAAGGGCCAGAAAAAAGGAGCTGTTTTGGCCCTGAGGGTCTGAGGCTCCCCACCCCTGACATGGGAAGAGTAGAGGGCGCAGCTGCCTTCAGCTGGTGGCTGGATGTGAGAACAGAGGCAGCCTCCAACCTGACCCGATGGGCTTGAGCAATCCTGGCTGAACTGGTTGCCTCTCCCCCACCCCCAAATAGCTTATCAGCTAGAGAGAGTGCCTGTTCCAACAAGAAGACTCTCCTGTCACCAGTGTGTTCTCTGTGCATTGCTGTTCGATTTCCTAAGCTCTCCGCTGTTTGCTTCCCAAAGATTCCAATCTAGCTCTTGGATCTTAGCTGGGCTACTGGTTCACCCCTTTTTGATCTTTGTGTTGCTCACAATGACTGCCTGACTTCGACCCTTTGCAAAGCAGCTGGCCTTGGTTGCTGTGCTACCAGTCTGGCCATGATATTCTTCCTGGCTTTCATCCTATCAAGCCTGCTCATGCTAGGTTTCAGCTACTCTCATTCTGCAAACAGGAGAAGTTTGGGCAGATTGTCCCACTGAAGCAATCCCACAAGTACTTCAGCATATGCTTCAACGCAATGTAGGCCCATTCAAACCACATTTTCTGTGTTAGTCCGATCGTGTGAACTGGAGCCCAGAGGGAAGAACTTCTGGTACTGTACCTGCCGGCCACTTCTCGAATCTCAAAATGGCCCCCAGAATGTCATGGTGGAGAAAAAAACAGTCCAAGAAGAAAGAGAGGCAGGGAGAAGTTCTGATCTGGTTGCTGCTGAATGTCTCCAAGGTGGGAGTCCAGCATGCCCACCCTGCCTGCCTCTTTGTCCCCATATGACTCCAACACAGCAGGATTAAAGAGACCAAACCATGACCATAAGAGGCACATGAAATGTTTCAGTCCCAGGCCGTGACAGAACCGTGAAGTTCAGGCCAATTTACTGTGAAAACAAAAATATGCTCTAGTTTGAGCAGGCAACAGAGCTTGTCTTCTCTCTGTGGGATGCTCAAGTAATCTGATGTTACAGAACTTCAGGTCCCTTCCCAAGCCTAAAGGCTGGACTGCAGGGAGAGTTTCCTGGTTTCCTCATTTCTGTGGGAGACACTCCCTCTCAACCCACGAACTTTCCATCAGGCCATCTCCCAACCATCTATAGCTGCCAGAAGAGCTACATTATGCCTCAGATTGCTTATCACCAGCTCTGTGAAGGGTTGAAGAAGAGCTGGACTGTGGGCTTATCCAAACATACCTTTCATTCACTCACTCCAGGCATAGGTCTGCACTCCGCGTTCAAGCATTCCCACCCCTCCCAGAGCTTTCCCCATGAAAACCTGCTCTTTGGCGCTCAAATGGAGCAAAAGGGTTTTCTGTGGATTGCCATTTGCTCCGATTCAACTTTAAAGAGCAGGGTTTTATGGGGGAAACTCCAGAGCAAAATAGAAAAAGAAAGGGGGGTACTTAGAGCTTTAAAGAGCAGACTATGTCTGGCAAAAGCAGAGGAAACGTGTGGAGAAGCCCCGTGTCTCACAATTCCTTCGCCTTCTAAAGCCAGCCTGTAGTGTACTAGCATAACATTTCCACGCAAGCAGAAATGCAAGTATGCAAGGCAGGTTCAACACGAAAGTCTTCAAAAGGGTTGTTTGGGGGGTGAGGGGAGACAAATGCAAAAGCGTTTGAACTGCAATGCAATACCATGCATTGCAGTTCAGTGAATTGCTTAGTGTTAATATATCTGTGCTAGATTATGTGTGCAACAGCATTACTCTCTTTGCACAGCCACTGCAGGTACATGTCTTGCTGCAAGCAGGTTGTACCGGGTGCGTTTCTGTGCAATGCTACGGGTCACTGGGTACAACCTGTGTCTTTTTGGTCTCCTTGCCATGTGTGCACATCAATGGCACTGGGTGT